AATTAGCTGGGTGGGGTGGTGCATGCCTGTAGTCCCAGCTACTTGGTGGGGTGCTGAGGCAGGAGGATTGCTTGAACCCGGGAGGTCAAGGCTGCAGTGAGTCGAGATTGGACCACTGCACTCCAGCATGAACACAAAGTGATACCCTGCTTCAAAAAAAAAATTTTTTTTTTAACGGACTAAGAACATACACTTTAACTGGAGGAGGATGTTAGGAGTCAAAACAATTGCTTAATCACTTATGTCCTCAGCACTGAAGGTCATTGTTTTGGTCTGGAGGTGTGTAAAATGTACGCTTTGCTCTCTAATTGTTTATAGTCTACTTGGGAAGGTAAACCTAACAAGAAATATGTAATAACAATAACGGCTAACATTGTTGAGTACTATGCACCAGGCATTGTACTGAGTACATTATATAAATTATTTTACTTAAAACTCACAACAACCAGAGTAGGAAGATTTCATAATTTTTCCCTCTTTTTATAGTTGAGGAAACTGAGGCTTAGATGTGTGCAAATAAGTGGCAAGTTTCAGATTCAAAATCACCTAAATTTTATTTAAAGCATAAAATACTTAGCCACCTATCTTTTATCTTCTAAGCTTGTTAGTTCAAAGATTACCTGAAGGTAAATTTTATCAAGCCAGCTTTGGATTTTTGGGGAAAAAAATGAAGGTAAGTTTTAACTTGAATGGATCTAGGCTGTTTATAATGGAATCTGTTGCCTAGCATCAATTGTGACCATGCTGAGGTCACAGAGGATAAGAAATTACCCTTAAGGGATGAAAATTCTTTGAAATAAAATGCAGTAGGCCCACACAAACAGGAGTGCATAAATAGCTTAAATTAGCCTGTGTTTGCTTAAGGACATTAACTGGAAAGGAAACTTGGTTTTAGAAGTTCACTCTAAAAATTGTGCAAGAAGCATCACTGGTCCATAAAGACAGAAGGGTGGAGTGGCTTACGTCATTTCAGTACCTTTTAAGGTAAAGGAGGAGGGAATCCTCTTGAACTCATTAGCCAATCAGGTTCTGAAGACACTTCTTAAGGCCACTTCCTGTCTCTCCACTTTCTCTCCCTCTGCGTTTTGGTGGGCTGGTGAGTGTGCACTTAATTTTGCTCTCTTTAATTGTTTTGAATTTCTCTTCCGTTTATGCCATATACCCAAGTGGCAGGCCTTTATTTCAAGCTGGCATTGGAGTGTGTGTGAGTCGCAAGGCGATTAATTTAGGCTCTTTGGAGGTTGGAAGAAGACAGCGAAATGCTCTGCCTGGCTTGTTTCCACGTGGGCCTCTGCAGTGCGGGGGTTTGCCTTCTTTCTCTGAGTCCCGGTGACCCAGGAACAATAGACTCTGCTTCATGTGCACAGTGCGTGTGTTCTTGGAAAACGCCCGGCTTTATTTCGCTGGGAGGGAGAGATACTGTTATCATCCCAATGCTGTATGATTTGTATCTCCCTGGGTGAGGTCAGATCTCAGGAGAAGGCGTTCAGCTCAGTAGATTTTAATTCTCCGGAGAGTGTCTAAGAGGGCCCAGGTCCTTACTAGGTTTGTGAAAGCTGCAGCAGATCTTGTCTTTTTCCTGGCCTTAGCTCAGATCATTTCGGCTTTCTTGGTGAACCTGGGCAGCAAACTCTGAGGACAGATAAGCCCTAAGAGGAGCTCCTAATTTTTAATGTTGCCGTAGTGGTGAATGTGTCCTAAAAAGCTATGGAAAAAGATCCGGGGACCTTAGTTTAGGGCAAGCCTTTAGATTCAAATTCCAGCGCCACAGTTTGCAGCTCTGGTGACCTTGGGAGTAGCAGTGAGCCATTCCCAGGCTTAGCTTTCCAAGATCAGATAAAATATATAAAAACTAGGCCCTAGTTGGTATGTAATAAATATTAGGTACCTTTAGAAGTAAGCAGTACTTATTTACCATAGTATTTTGGATATCTGTTTTCTCATACAAAGTTTTGTCTAGTGACCTCAAATGTAATTTCACTGCATTCCTTTCTTTTGATACATGTTAGTTTTTATATGATGTATATGTTGGGTATCCTTATAGGTAGAAAGCATGAGAAAGACAAATAAACCAGTTAATTGAATGTAGTAATAGGCATTTGTAGGCCTCCCATAATTTTTATAATTCTCAAGTGGTTATAATTGATTCTTTGAATAGGTAATATATTCACATGGTTCAGAATTCAAAGGAAATCAGTTTCTTTTTTTTTTTTTATTTTTTCTTGGAGACGGAGTTTCGCTCTTGTTACCCAGGCTGGAGTGCAATGGCGCGATCTCGGCTCACCGCAACCTCCGCCTCCTGGGTTCAAGCAATTCTCCTGCCTCAGCCTCCTGAGTAGCTGGGACTACAGGCACGCGCCACCATGCCCAGCTAATTTTTTTGTAGTTTTAGTAGAGACGGTGTTTCACCATGTTGACCAGGATGGTCTCGATCTCTTGACCTCGTGATCCACCCGCCTCGGCCTCCCAGAGTGCTGGGATTACAGGCTTGAGCCACCGCGCCCGGCCGGAAATCAGTTTCTTATCCCCTTCCCTAAGCCATCCAATTCCTCTCTCGCATAACAGTGTTACTAAGATATTTTATGCATGTAAGCAAATATGTGTGACTATCTTTCCCTTTTTCTATATCTACTCTACTATATGTCTTACTTTTTCCACTTAATAATTCCATGAGTAGTATCCACATTCTTTATAATGGTAACAGTGTTCTTTAAAAATGTTTTTTAAAAAATATTTTTTATTTCAATAGGTTTTTGGGGTATAATGGTAACATAGTGTTCTACTTTATGTACATGCCATAATTTATTTAGCTTTTATCAGTAGATATTTAGATTATGATCTTGATATTTCTCCCTAAAGGAATAACTTTGTAAATAAGTCAGTTAGCATATAGGCATTTCAACTGCGTTTTAGCATATTCTTGTTTAAAAGGAATCTAGATATTTTGCAGAGCTTCCTATTTATATTTATTTTGTACACATAGTGGTGATTAGAAACCAATCAATACTTTAAATGTCTTGATTGAGCAGTAAAGGATTTTCTACCAAAAGCAGAATCATCTTGATGGCTTTTGTGTGAGTATATATTTATCCACTTTGGTTTGACTAGAGGATGGTTTATCTTGTTATGAGCACGTTCTTTTAAATCTTTTTTTATTTTATTTTTTTGTTCTTTTGAGCACATGTTTAATGTTGGGAAGGAGTGACAGCAGTGGCCGAGAACAGCCAAGTCATCTGTATTCAAAGGGGCAGAAGGGGCATTCTTTCAATGTTTTCTTAGAAAATGTGTGCTGGGTATGCCCCTGAACTTATGGTGTTGAGGGAGTAGACCCATTTTAGTATTAAGTTAGGAAAAGCTGAAATATGTTTTAGGATATAGACATGCAAAATAAAAAAGGAGACTTTGGGAATTTCCCCAAAGCTGTTTCAGTCTTAAGAGGCTTAGTTCTGGTTTTTTAGGTGGTAGTTTTGTGAGTTGGGAAAAAATTAGGTTCTTTCCAATGGAAGCCTCCTTTTGTTAAGAAATAACTTTATGGCAAGGCACGCCTGTTAATTTTAGCACTTTGAGAGGCCAAGGCGGACGAATCATGAGGTCAGGCGTTTGAGACCAACCTGGCTAACATGGTGAAACCCTGTCTCGACTAAAAAGACAAAAAATTAGCTGAGCGTGGTGTTGAACGCTTGTAATCCCAGCTCCTGGGGGGGCTGAGGTAGGAGAATAGCTTGAACCTGGGAGGAGGAGGTTGCAGTGAGCCGAGATCGTGCCATTGCACTCCAGCCTGGGGAACAGGAGCAAAACTCCGTCTCAAAAAAAAAAGAAAAGACACAACATCTTGGAGTTGGAAGGGCCCTTGGGAGTACTATATGAGTGGCCTTTCTGGCTTCTGAGCTATTGTGAGAAGAATAAATGAATTTTTGTTTTTGTTAAATTTACATTTATTGTAGATTCACGGGGTACATGTGCAGGTTTGTTACAGGATATATTGCATGATGCTGAGGTGTGGGGTTCAACTGATCCTGCCACCTAGGTAGTAAACATTGTACCCAATAGAAGTTTTTCGGCTCTTGCTCCTCTCCCTCCTTCCCTCCTTTTGGAGTACCTAGTGTTTATTGTTCCCAACTTTATGTCCCCGTGAACCCAATATTTAGCTTCCACTTATAAGTGAGAATATGTGATACTTGGTTTTCTGTTTCTACGTAAATTCACTTAGGATAATGGCCTCCAGCAGCTCCAGTTGCTGCAAAAGACATGATTTTTTTTTAATGGCTGTGGAAAAGTGTGAAATTTGTAGGCAGAATACTTGCCGTTCTAATCACTAGCTGGTTGAGCTTGGGCAAGTAATAGAAATAACATATTAAACATTTAACTCCATGCCAGCTACAGTGTACAGTATATTTATTATCTCATTTAATCTTCACAGAAGTTTTAAGAGGTAAGTAGTATTTGTTCTCATTTTACAGAGGTGACAACTGAGGTTTAGAGAAGTTGCATGACTTATCCATGGGCACAGCAAATACACAAGAGAGCCAGGATTAAAATCTAGTTTTGTATTATTTTAAAATTTATTATTTTAGGGACTATTAATTAGTGCAGCTATTATGAAAAACAATTATGGAGATTTCTCAAAAAATTAAAAATAAAACTACCATATAATCCAGAAATCCCAATTTCTGGGTATATTCAAAGGAAATTAAATTAGTGTGTCAGAGATACCTACACTCTGCACGTTCATTGCAGCATTATTCACAAAAGCCAAGATAAGGAATTGACCTAAAGGTCCATCAACAGATGAATGGATAAAGAAAATGTGATACCTTTGTATAGTGGAATACTATTCTGCTTTAAAAAGGAAGGAAATTCTGATAGTGGGAAATAAAACTTGGAGTCTGTTCTGATAGCAGTGCCTTATATGACTACCTCTAAAGAAAACTATGCCAAGCTATCAGTTTAATATTTACTTCCTATGAACAAAATTTTATATCGTTTTCATTTTGTTTCAGGTTGAAGATGAAATCCACTGAGGATGAAAGGCCTGGGTCTTCGGCACCCTATGTGCCAGTCCAGAATTGGTCCATCTACAGACCCCCTGAAAATCAACTGGGCTTGGATTTGGACATTCTCAATAGAAAGGGTTAAAGGCTGATGGGACCTAAAGCCTGGTACTTGAATTTTGATCAAGATAAACTGTCTTAAGTTCTCTTCACTACATGTATGTGTGTCTTTTCTGTCTAAAAAGCTTAGCCTAGAGATTCTTTGAGTTACCACTGTATCCTGTAATGCTAGGTGGCACTGTGTAAATTGGAATAGAGTCAAATGGAATGGTAATGAAATCTTAACACAGCATTTGCTGATTTAGTATCAATTTGTAGTTTGTATTAGGCCTTCATGAAGCATCTGTTCACACATATAAAATGTACGTTTTGGCTATGAACACCAGTACTTTGAAATGATTACTGCCCACAGTCAACAAAATGCTGGGATCATTGATTGTTTATGGAGCATTTACAAAATACTTAGTAAATATGAAATGTCCTTTGTATGGTGGAGTGAACTTGTCAAAGCATGCATGACTAGAATCCTGCAGGGAGCATTACACATTGGGAAAGTTGTCACATATTTAACATCAGGATTTACGTGCTGGCTTTGTGCTGTGTGTCAAAGACAAAAAGACCAGGCCTCTTGCGTTCTGGGTTTTGTTTGTGAGTTGAGATTAATAGAGAAGTTGTTCCTTTCAACCTATGATTATCCTGTAGGAGGTGTTTTTTTTTTTCTTCCCTTTATACCCAAAGAGTCACCTCATATAGGAGGTTTTTTTCTGTTAATTTCCTTTTTTAAAAAAATTTATATTAGGTTTGGAGAGATCAAGGAGTTTTAAGGTTGACATCGTTAAAACTGTAGAAGCCTTTCCCACCATGTCTTGCTTCTTGACTATATTCTCTTAGTTAATCTTGTATCCTGCTGATCTGAAAACATTTTACATAGTGAAAGCAGTGTTGAAATATAGGACAAGGATGGAATAAAGTAACATTTTGATCATATCCGTCTGAGATATTTAAAAAGCTTCAGTTTCTTTCCAACCTACTGAGCTAGTATGTCATTGCATTACATTTTAAAGCAAACTAACTTCTTTTTTTTTTTTTTCCTTCATAAAGACGGGGTTTCACCATGTTGGTCAGGCTGTTCTTGAACTCCCAACCTCAGGTGATCCGCCCGCCTTGGCCTCCAAAGTGCTTGGATTACAGGCGTGAGCCACCATGCCCGGCCACAAACTATCTTTTTTAGCTCTGTTTATTTCCAGGAGGAAGTACCATGATGAAGTAAAAAGACTATGGAGTTTTGATGTTATTGAATTTAAATCCTAGCTCTTACTAGTTAGATGATCTTAAGGAAATTTATTTAATGTTTTTGAGGCTCTATTTTCTTTGGAAATAGGGGGTTGTAAAATTGGAATGATACAAATTCTATAGTGCTTAACAGAAAGGATTTTTTTTTTTTTCTTTTTTTTGAGAATAGGATTTCTTTTTTTTTTTTTTGAGATGGAATCTCGCTCTGTCACCAGGCTGTAGTGCAATGGTGCAGTCTCGGCTCACTGTAACCCCTGCCTCTCCCGGGTTTAAGTGATTCTTCTGCCTCAGCCTCCCGAGTAGCTGGGTCTACAGGCCGCACCACCAGGCCCGGCTAATTTCTGTGTTTTTAGTAGAAATGTGGTTTCACAATGTTGGCTAGGATGGTCTTGATCTCTTGACCTCATGGTCTGCCCACCTGGGCCTCCCAAAGTGCTGGGATTACAGGCGTGAGCCACCACGCCCAGCTTGACAGATAGGATTTCTAAAGAATGATAGCCACTGTTTTCTGTCAGCTTATTTTAGACCCATCATTAAAGGCACTGATGTCCAATGGAGCCTTCTGTTAGGATGGAAATGTTCTACGTTTGTACTGCCAATATAGCTATTGAGTAATGAAATGAGATTAGGGTAATGGAGAAATTTAATTTTTAACTCTAAGTAGTACTTATTGGACATGCAAGTTTAAGGTCCACTCATGACCCACTTTTTTTGCTTCATGAAGCCTTCCTTGACCAATGCTACTTCTTTTCTTAACCTTACTTGCTTTCTACTACTTTTTTGGTGGTATGTTAATTTCTGAGTCTTGTCTTTCTGGCTATATTGGATCTGAGGTTATGGAATTTTTTTTTTTTTTTTAAGACGGAGTTTCACCATGTTGGTCAGGCTGGTCTTGAACTACCGACCTCAGGTGATCTGCCTGCTTTGGCCTCCAGAGTGCTTGGATTACAGGCGTGAATCACCATGCCCGGCTGAGGTTATGGATTTTTAAATCTCCGTGTTGCTGCATGAAAAAGAACATAATGATAAAAGTACAATTGTAGTATTTTTAGTTAACAAGTTTTAGATGATCATTACAAGTAATACAAAAAATTTTCTAGCTAGTAATTAGGTGAAGAGTAGGGAATAGTATGAAGGCTGGCTGCAAAGATAAACTGTGTAACTAGTATGTATTTGACCTGAAAGTTCAGATTACACTCAAACGCTGGAAGATGAAATTAAAGCCTCAAGGGCCGGGCGCGGTGGCTCAAGCCTGTAATCCCAGCACTTTGGGAGGCCGAGACGGGTGGATCACGAGGTCAAGAGATCGAGACCATCCTGGTCAACATGGTGAAACCCCGTCTCTATTAAAAATACAAAAAATCAGCTGGGCATGGTGGTGCGTGCCTGTAATCCCAGCTATTCAGGAGGCTGGGGCAGGAGAATTGCCTGAACCCAGGAGGCGGAGGTTGCGGTGAGCCGAGATCGCACCATTGCACTCCAGCCTGGGTAACATGAGTGAAACTCCGTCACAAAAAAAAAAAAAAAAAAAAAAAAAGAAATTAAAGCCTCTTTTTACTTTGCCATCTCGTGGCAGGCTTGGGTTCCAAATGATATGAATTCGATTTTCCTGTATAAAAGGAAGATTTTCTTCAGATTATTTTGACAAAAGATTACAAAGAGTAAAGTTTAAATACAGTACAGCATTGGCTGAAATGAAATTGAAACACGCTTTGAAAAAACTGACTATTTTGGGTATTTCCTCATTTATCTGAATCTTACAAATTCTGAATTCCCTCCTTTTGCATAACTGTTTTCTTTTTATTTATTTATTTTTTAAAGATGGGGTTTCACCATGATGGCCAGGCTGGTCTTGAACTCTTGACCTCAGGTGATCCACCCACCTCAGCCTCCCAAAGTGTTAGGATTATAGGCGTGAGCCACTGCACGCGGCCGCATAACTGTTTTCTTACTATGAGGCTGTTGACTTTCATAGCCTTTCAGATGTTGGTTAGACTATTGCACAGTTTTATTCAAGCTTGTAAATTTATACAAAATTAAGCTTGTGTAGAGGTCCTACTCTTTTTTTTTTGTTTGTTAATTTTTGTTTTGAGACAGGGTATTACTCTGTTACCTAGGCTGGAGTACAGTGTCATGATCACAGCTCACTGTAACCTTGAACTCCTGATCCTGCCCTATTTGATATTGAGCTTGGGCATTTGATGACATTCTCTAAATAGATGAGTCAATAATTTATATTACTGAATGGAGAGTCAAATAAAGTTACTCTAAATTTCCTGTGACTTGTTGTGTAGAACATGCTGGTGTAAGTTGTCATATAATCATAACGTTTGTGAATTAATTTATTTTTTTAATTTTCCAGAGATGATCTTAGGTAATTGATAGATCCTGTGGTTCAACTTGGTTTCTAGATAGAAGCTGGATTCATGTGATGCCAGATGTAAGTGGAAGAGCAAACTCTTCATTTTTTTACCTCGTTTGAATTTCTAATCACCTAGCAATTAGTTATTAGTGGATGGAATTTGATAGTTGAAAAAAATCCCCAGTTCTAACCTTAAGAGGATTTTCCTGTTTGGGGATGAGGAGCCAGTGCTGGTTTGCCCTTCACCAGTCATTTACAGTTTGCCATGATGAAATGCATGTTAAGTCCGTGTTTCAGCTGATCAGTCTGATTAAACACATGCTCTGAGCAGACTAAAGCTAGGGGCAAACACCTGCAATTGAATTCTGCTTGTTGAAATTTTTACTGGGATTTAGCCTGTAATTCCACGTAATTCTTTTTGTTTTGTTTTGTTTTTGTTTTTTGAGGTGGAATCTCGCTCTGTTGCCCAGGCTGGAGTGCAGTGGTGTGATCTCGGCTCACTGCAACCTTCAACCTGCTGGGTTCAAGCAATTCTTCTGCCTCAACCTCCCGAGTAGCTGGGACTACAGGCGTTTGCCACCATGCCCGGCTAATTTTTGTATTTTTAATAGACATGGGGCTTCATCATAGTGGCCAGGCTGGGTTTGAACTCCTGACCTGGTGATCCGCCTGCCTTGGCCTCCCACAGTGCTGGGATTACATGAGCCACCATGCTCAGCCAATCCCAGATAGTTCTAAAATCTTAATAAATTACCAATTTAAGACTAATATTTTGTTGTGCTTTGATCTTTTGTGATATCTCTATATCCCCAAAAAATCACTTTTGTGAGTTAGAACTAGAATCAGGAATCCTTAATCTAAAAGTTCAAACACTACAGAAAAAGCACTGGTAACTGGTATAATTCTATAACCAATTTAGCCTGGCAGTTTTCAACTAATCACTATTCTGTCAATCTATATACATAGATTAAGGGAAAAACAGAGTTGGTTCAATCAATTTTGTGAAGACTACAATGCAATACTATACAGTCACTTAAAAGTTATGATACAGGTTTATGTTTATTGAAATGGAATGATATTCATGACACATGAAAAACATTATAGAGCAATATGTTTCTGCTTAAATATTTTTATATGCATATGTTTGCTTAAGAAATCTAAAAGGATATATATGCTAAAATACTAGGGGTTATTTTCTCTAGAATTGGATTCTACAAGTAATCTTGTAGTATAAACTTCTATTTTCTAATTTTATTGTATTCATGTATTGTAATATATTAAAAGTAATTTTAAGTAACTTAGGACAAGCTTATATTCTTTACCCGTGCCTGCATTTTCAGCAGAGAATTAGATACAAGGGTGAAATACAGGAAATACAAACAACTCAAAGTTATATCAGAAGAACTTGAAATAATTTTTTAGCTTTTTTTGTCTTTTACAGAAGTAAAATTTCAAGAGACCAAAACCAGATCTGAGTCTCCCTGTTCCATTCTGGACCTCTTTGGTGCTGTAAATCCTGGATATACAGTAGACGATTACTGCATTTTATGGTAAGGCTTAGGTTGCGATTGAGAAGCTTTGACATACATGAGTCTGAAAATTCAGGTTTATGATTTCACAGCTAGCTGCTAAGGTGCTATAAATTGCATTTTTTAAAAGTCAGTTGATCCCAGGCATGGTGGCTCATGCCTGTAATCCTAGCACTTTGGGAGGCTGAGGCAGACAGATTATCTGAGCTCAGGAGTTCGAGATCAGACTGGCCAGCATGGTAAAACCCCATCTCTCCTAAAAATAAAATACAAAAAGCCGGGCATGGTGTGGCATGCAACTTTTAGTCTCAGCTACTTGGGAGGCTGAGGCAAGAGAATCTCCTGAACCCAGGAGATGGAAGTTGCAGTGAGCAGAGATTACACACTGCACTCCAGCCTGGGTGACAAAGCAACATTCTGCCTCCAAAAAAAAAAAAAGGTAAATTAAAGATGTTGAGAAGTAGCATTGTATAGTGGTTATATATGGGTTCAAACCTATGCTCTGTCACTTTACCAGTTATGCAACATTGGCAAGTTTCTTAATATCTGTGTCTTAGTTTTATATTTTAGAAGATGGCAATAGCATTTGACTCAGGATGGTTATTTTGAAGATTAAATTAGTTAAGGTGTGGATAAAGCATATAGGTAAATGCTCAATTGGTGTTAACTGTTTTGTCATCAGAATCCATGTGTATATTTATTTTAGATACTGTACTACCTGGCAATTTCTGACATCTGCATAATAGATTGACAAATATTCTTTGTTTTGGCCTGGTGTGATGGGATTTTGGGAGGCTGAGGTGGGTAGATCCCCACCTGAAGTCGGGAATTAGCCTGGCTAACATGGTAAAACCCCGTCTCTACCAAAAATACAAAAATTGGCTGGATGTGGTGGTGTGCCCCTGTAATCCCAGCTACTTGGGAGGTTGAGGCAGGAGAATCGCTGGAAGCTGGGAGGCAGAGGTTGCAGTGAGCTGAGATCGCATCAGTCTGGGTGACTATACTCCAGCCTGGGTGACAGAGCTAGACTTTGTCTCAAAAAAAAAAAAAGAAAGAAAGAAAATTATTTGTTTTTATTGCTTATGTATCTTTCTGCTAATTAGACTTCCCCTCATTACCTTCACCCCTGGCCCTCAAAACTTAATTAAGTTTTAGAGTTAGTCATAGGCACTGTAGTGTGTATCTTTATATAATTGTTAGAATAACATTTTCTTTAGTTGATTAATCTTGGTTTTGGAACTAACTTGTTATCTAGTTTGTGATTTTCCCTTGCTGGATCAGTCGATCCTTAATGATTCTTTCTAGTTCTTACTTAGATGTAATGATTTCTATCTTATAAGAGTCCTTTGATGTCTTCATTATTAGTTAAAAAAAATTTTTTTTTTTTTAATATAGAGACTGAGTTTTGCCATGTTGATCAGGCTGGTCTTGAACTCCTGACCTCATCTGCCCACTTTAGCCTCCCAAAGTGCTGGGATTACAGGCGTGAGCCACTGTGCCCGGCCTGGTTTTTTGTTTTTTTTTTTTTTTTTTTGAGACAGGTACCCACTCCATTGCCCAGGCTGGAGTGCAGTGTCATAATCAGGGCTCACTGCAGCCCCAACTTCCCAGGCTCAGATAATTCTCTCACCTAAGGCTCCCCAGTAGATGGGACCACAGGCTACTATGCCTGGCTAATTTTTTGTATTTTTTGTAGAGATGGGGTTTTGCCATGTTGCCCAGGTTGGGATGTCTTTATTTTTTATAAACTTGTCTTGTCTTAAGTTAATGTGGTTGGAGGTAAACTTTGATGGCTGTTCCTCTCACTGCTTGGAGCCTTAGGCAGTGGGATTTTGATCCATCATATATAAAAAATGTCTTATCTTCACTCAGGGCACCATGTGGATGGGCTGGCTGTCCGTTAGTGCCTTCTGAATTTTGCGGAGTCAAACAATTACTAAACAGGTGGTGATTCTAGATTAATGTACCTGTGATTAAAAAACTAAAAGCAGCAGCCTAGTTTCAGAACACGAGTGTATAGTAATTAGATAGCTCTCATCTAGCACTACTAAAGAAAGCTGTGGTCAGTTGATTCTGGGAGTTACTGAAACATTATACTCTAAAGTCATTCATGGTTAAATTTTAAATGGTTTACTCAGTTTTCTAGAGCGGTTGTTCACACACATGTCCGGGCAGTTTTAAAAATACAGTTTTTGGCGGGGTGCGGTGGCTCACACCTGTAATCTCAGCACTTTAGGAGTCCAAGGTGGGCGAATCATCTGAAGACACGAGTTTGCCACCAGCTTGGCTAACATGGTGAAACCCTGTCTCTATTAAAAATACAAAAATTAGCCGGGCATGGTGGTGCGTACCTGTAGTCCCAGCCACTCAGGAAGCTGAGGCAAGAGAATCTTTTGAAACTGGGAAGGGAAGGTTGCAGTGAGCCACTGCACTCCAGCCTGGGTGACAAAGTGAGATACTCCATCTCAAAAAAATAAATAAATAAAATAAAAAATTTAAATATATATGTGTATATATACACATACTTTTCTTTGCAGTATGAAGGTAGATAACTCTTCAAGTTAAAGATGGACTTTTCTCACCAGAAATGGCTTTATAGAATCAATTTGCAAAAATGTAAGAGGTGGCAAAGGAAAGAATAAAATGATATTTTCATTTTCTTCTGTCATTCTTAGATACTTTGGTAAATTGTAAGCTCCATGAAATCAGGATACCTTCATTTCGCTAAGAAGAGATACCAAAAAAATATTTGCTTATATACTAACTTAGTCTCTGGGTGTTATCTTCTAAACGAATTCTTGGGATGTGTACTGAAGGAGACATGTACAGAACGTTCACTATGGTATTGTTTTTATTTTTTATTTTATTTATTTATTTATTTATTTTTGAGACGGAGTTTCGCTCTTGTTACCCAGGCTGGAGTGCAATGGCGCGATCTCGGCTCACCGCAACCTCCGCCTCCTGGGTTCAGGCAATTCTCCTGCCTCAGCCTCTTGAGTAGCTGGGATTACAGGCACGTGCCACCATGCCCAGCTAATTTTTTGTAGTTTTAGTAGAGACGGGGTTTCACCATGTTGACCAGGATGGTCTCGATCTCTTGACCTCGTGATCCACCCGCCTCGGCCTCCCAAAGTGCTGGGATTACAGGCTTGAGCCGCCGCGCCCGGCCCTATTTATTTATTTATTATTTCATTTTAGGTTTTGGGATACATGGAGGTGCCAGATGTTCAATTAGAGCTGTCACACCGTTTCTGGGAACTTGTGATTTTTAGAAAGCCCGAGCGGTCCTCGGCAACTCTCCACAGCCTGGCAGGTCCCAGGATGCTTCGGGGCAACCCCGCGCTTGCGTGCTCTGGCGTAGTTCCCTGACGCCCTCCCGCGCAGAGAATCCTGGAATCTTCGCTTGTGGCGCTGCGGCGGTAATGGAGTTTTTCCGCGGTTTTTCTTTCAGTCTCAGATTAAGTATCGTTTGTTATTATTATTGTTGTTATTTTCTCTATTAAGCACAGAAAGCTGGCTGAAAATTTCAGAGTGTAATTTCTGTGGGTCTGTTTCTCTAAAACTTGCCCTCACTCATCTCGTACAGCCATTAGATTGGCACTTACTCCCGAATCTGGTGGAAGATTCGGAATTAGCTGCACCTCTTCTGCCTGAGAGAGGGCTTAGCTTCAAAGCTTCCCAGCTCCTGTGCTTCCTCTGTGCCCACTACCCGCCGGACGTAAAACAGGCTTCTTAACTGTGGCTGCCAGGTGACATATCTGAGGAAACTCACTCAGCTGGGCTATTGGGATGAAGGTGTCCGGGTGTTCCTGTTGACCCAGAGGACCCAAAGTGCCTTTTTTTTTAAATTTTTTTGAGACAGAGCCCCAGGCTGGAGTGCAGTGGCACGATCTTGGCTCACTGCAGCCTCTGACTGCCGGGTTCAAGCGATTCTCCTGCCTCGGCCTCCCTACTAGTTGAGATTCCAGGAGCCCACCACCACCCTGGCTAATTTTTGTTATTTGTAGTAGAGATGGGGTTTCACCTTGCTGGCCAGGCTGGTCGCGAACTCCAGTGATCCGCCCACCCAAGCCCCCCAAGGTGCTGGTATTACAAGCGTGAACCACCACGCCTGGCCCAAAGCAACATTCTTGACAGAATTTATCAGTTGATAAATGTGAACGTTTACTCTTGGTGTATAATCGATGTGTCACTCATTTTATGGCTTGTTTTGGCATGTCCAGATTATTGCTGTGCTTAAAAAAATGTTTTTAATAGAAGCATAGCATTGAAGAGTGCAGTATTTATATTAATAGGTGAATTTTTTTTTTTTTTTTTTTTTTTTTATTTAAAGACAGTCTCTGTCACCCAGGCTGGAGTGCAATGGCACGATCTTGGCTCACCACAACCCTTGCCTCCTGGGTTCAAGCGATTCTCCTGCCTCAGCCTCCAGAGTAGTGACTATAGGCTCACGCCACCACACCTGGGCTAATTTTTATTTTTATTTTTTTAAGACATTCTTGCTCGGTGGCCCAGCCTGGAGTGTAGTAGTGCGATCTTGGCTCACTGCAACCCCCAGCCCCTGGGTTCCAGAGATTCTCCTGCCTCAGCCTCGTTAGTAGCTGGGACTACAGGCATGCACCACTATGCCAGGCTATTTTTTTTGTATTTTTTTAGTAGAGTTGGGGTTTCACCATGATGGTTGGACTGGTCTCAAACTCCTGACCTCAAAATGATCCACCCGCCTCGGCCCCCCAAAGTGCTGGGATTACAGGTGTGAGCCACCGCACCTGGCAATTTTTGTATTTTTAATAGAAACTGGGTTTCACCATGTTGGCCAGGCTGGACCTGAAGGGACCTGCCTGTCTCAGCCTCCCAGAGTGCTGGGATTACAGGTGTGAGCCACTGGGCCTGACCCACATATATATTATTTTTGACTTTGGTAAGATTTGTAACCACCTGTGTCTTTATCCTTAAAATATTTTTAGAAAACAGGATAAATGAGAAGCACAATTAATATTGTTGAGTAACAAATCATTGTATCAATTATAATAAATAAAATGAATATAATAAAATGTGTACTATTTTATCATAAAAGCATACATGTTATATTTATTTTTTACTTGTTATTTATTTTCATTGCAATTTAACTTACTCAGCCTTTTTATTTACCACTTATTAGGACTCTCTTTAGCTTCTGGAGACCTCACTATCCTATTATGTCTTTGTGTGAAGATATGCTGCTTTGTAATTATCGAAAGTGTCGCATCAAACTCTCTGGCTATGCATGGGTCACTGCCTGTTCTCACATCTTCTGTGATCAGCATGGCAGTGGTGAGTTTAGTCGCTCACCAGCTATCTGTCCTGCCTGCAACAGTACCCTTTCTGGAAAGCTAGATATTGTCCGCACAGAACTCAGTCCGTCAGAGGAATATAAAGCTATGGTATTGGCAGGACTGCGACCAGAGATCGTGTTGGACATTAGCTCCCGAGCACTGGCCTTCTGGACATACCAGGTTAGTGCTTAGTCTAGTTTCTCTTGACAGTATAATTTAAGGCAGTCGTGGGAGTTTCTAGTGTCTTTTCTTGATTATTTTATATTTATGTTTTATGAGTATATGGGAAACTTTCTTAAAGCAATAATGTTTATTGTCGAGAATCAAAAGGAAGAAACTTAAAAAAGCACTCATAGGCTGGGCGCGGTGGCTCACGCCTGTAATCCCAGCACTTTGGGAGGCCGAGGCGGGTGGATCACGAGGTCAAGAGATCGAGACCATCCTGGTCAACATGGTGAAACCCCGTCTCTACTAAAAATACAAAAAATTAGCTGGGCATGGTGGCGTGTGCCTGTAATCCCAGCGACTCAGGAGGCTGGGGCAGGAGAATTGCCTGAACCCGGGAGGCGGAGGGTGCAATGAGCCGAGATCGGGCCATTGCACTCCAGCCTGGGTAACAAGAGCGAAACTCCGTCTCAAAAAAAAAAAAAGCACTCATAATTCCATCACTTGGAGATAACTGTTGTTGATATTGCACACACATACACACACACTTATACACTCTCTCACACTCTTCTATACAAAAGTAAGATCATACCATACATACTGTTTTATTGTTAGAGTTAACAATGTAATATATCTGGTATGAATTTTTCCTTTTTTTTTTTTTGAGATGGGATTTTCTTGTGTTGCCCAGTCTAGCCTCTAACTCCTGGATTTAAGCCATTCTCCCACCTCAGCCTCTTGAGTAGCCTGTGCCCCACTCGGTATGAATATTTTATTAAATATTTTTCAGTTAACTATTCTGTAATCGTGTTTTAATGGTTATATTGTATCATAATTTATTTCTAAGTTATTAAAATGCTATGAGCATTCATCAAATACACATCCTTAACTTTTTCCCTTTATGATTTCTACTTTTGGCATTTCCTTAGAAAGACCTCCCTGTGGATAACTTTAAGCATGTCCTCGTATATATTGTTATATTTTACATATATACTTACACTTTTTTTTGAGACAGTCTTTCTCTCGCACAAGCCGGAGTGGAGTGGCACGATCCCGGCTCACTGCAACTTCCACCTCCTGGGTTCAGGCAATTCTCCTGCCTCAGCCTCCTGAGTAGGTGGGATTACACGCGGGTGCCACCATGCCCAGCTAATTTTTGTATTTTTAGTAGAGACGAGTTTTCACCATATTGGTCAGGCTAGTCTCAAACTCCTGACCTCCTCGTGATCTGTGCACCTCAGCCTCCCAAAGTGCTGGGATTACAGGTGTGAACCACTGTGCCCGGCCACATATAAAGTTATACTTCTTAAGGATGTTTGTCATCTGTCAAGTAACTTTTTATTGTATTTTTCTGGGTAAGTTATTTCTCTTACATGCTCCTGTATTTTTCAACTCCTTTGGTTAAATACCAAATAGTGTGTTTGCTGGCTTATATGGTAAGAGTATGTTTACTTTTGTAAGCAACTGCCAAATTGTCTTCCAAAATGGCTGTACCAATTTACATTGCCAGCAGCAATGAGTGAGAATTCCACGTCCTTGCCAGAATTTGGTATTGTCCATGTTCTGGATCTTGGCCATTTTAATAGGTGTATAGTGGTATGTCCTTTTAGTTTGCATTTCTCTGATGACATGTGATGTAGCTCATCTTTTGATATGCTTTTTTGCCATTTATGTGTGTGTATATATATATATATATATATATACACACACATAAAAATACACACACACACACACACACACACACACACATATTTTTTTGTTGTTGTTTGTTTGAGATGAAGTTTCATTCTTGTTGCCCAGGCTGGAGTGCAACAGCGCGAACTCTACTCACTGCAACTTACACTGCCCGGGTTCAAGTGATTGTTCTGCCTCAGCCACCCGAGTAGCTGGGATTAAAGTCACACACCACTATGCCCGGCTAATTTTGTATTTTTAGGGGAGATGGGATTTCACCATGTTGGTCAGGCTGGTCTTGCGCTCCTGACCTCAGGTGATCTGCCTGCCTTGACCTTCCAAAGTGCCGGGATTACAAGTGTGAGCCACCGTGCTCAGCCATTTGTGTATGTTTTTTTGGTGAGGTGTATGTGAAGTTTTTGGTCTATTTTTAAATTGTTTTCTTATCGTTGAGTTTTAAGTGTTCTTTGTATATTTTGGGTAACAGTCCTTTATCAGATCTATCTTCTGCAAATATACTCTCCTGATCTGTAGCTTGTCTTTTCATTCTCTCACAGGGCCTTTCACAGAGCAGAGATTTTTATCTTTAATGAAATCCTGCTTATCAATTTTCTCTTTGATGGTTTATACCTTTGGTGTATTTTAAAAGTCGTTGCCAAATCCAAGGTCACCTGGATTTTCCCCTATTATTAGTTTCTGGGAGTTTCATAGTTTTGCATTTTATATTTAAGTCTGTGAACTATTTTTAGTTTATTTTTGTGAAAAGTGTAAGGTCTGTCTAGATTCATTGGGTCCTCAGTTTTTTTGCTGGTTATTGGCCAGAAGCTGTTCTTAGTTACTTGCCTCTTGAACCTTCCTGCCATAGCTGCTTTCTTCCTCAAAACCAGCAAGGGAGTGTGTCTCCTAGTAAGACCTTATAGTCTTAGGTAGTAAACTCATGAAGTGACAATCTGTTACACTGTTTGTAGTATTCTAGTCACAGGTCCTGCCCACATGCAAGGGGACAGGGAGTTACACAAGGGTGTACATACCAGGAGACAATAATAATTGTTTTAGAGTCTGTTCTTCATGCTCTTGAAAAATGGGATCATATTTCTTAAAAATCTTTGAAAAACATGTCACGTGTTAAATTAAGACAAAAACTCAGTACTTTTGGTGGTATAATGTTAGTGGTTTGAGAGTATTCTTCCAGACGTTTTTTCTATGCATTTAGTAACATAACTTACTGTTTTCTATAATTACCTCATTGCATATAATGATTGCTTCTTTAAGTGGGTTTTAAATGTTAAAATGACATCCCTGTATAAGCATCTTTATATTTCCTTTCGTGTTTGTTTGTGTAATATTTTATAGTATATAACTTGGAACCCAATACCTTAAAAATCCTTTCTTTTTTGGAACCAGGTACATCAGGAACGTCTCTATCAAGAATACAATTTCAGCAAGGCTGAGGGCCATCTGAAACAGATGGAGAAGATATATACTCAGCAAATACAAAGCAAGGATGTAGAATTGACCTCTATGAAAGGGGAGGTCACCTCCATGAAGAAAGTGCTAGAAGAATACAAAAAAAAGTTCAGTGACATCTCTGAGAAACTTATGGAGCGCAATCGTCAGTATCAAAAGCTCCAAGGCCTCTATGATAGCCTTAGGCTACGAAACATCACTATTGCTAACCATGAAGGCACCCTTGAACCATCCATGATTGCACAGTCTGGTGTTTTTGGCTTCCCATTAGGTAAGAAAGGACATGTGATATCCAGAATCTGTTCTTTAAATCAATGATTTTTTATACTGTTCTGCCCGTTTCCAAGCTAAACTCCATCTCAAAAAAAAGAAAAAAAGAGTATAGGCTCTGAAAATAGGGTAGGGATATTGACCAAATTACTTAACTTTCTGTGCCTTCTCATCTGTATGAAAGAGGGAGACTAATACTTACCTCATAAAGTTTTGTAAATTGTATGAATTTGTATAAAACACACCCTAGCACTTAGGAATCAGTAATGGCAGCTAATATTACTACAACTATGTGGCCTTTAATTTAATGTAGCAATTTTTGCAAGTTTTCATTTTGCAGAGATTAACTCTGCTCAAATTAAAGCTTTAATTTAAATGTAAGAAAATACGGTAGATAAAAGTGATGATGTACAGGTTGAAACATGGGTGAAGAATTCATAGCCTACCACAACTCAAGACTCTTATAGTCTCCACTGAATGCTATAGGACAGTACAACATAATATTACTTCTCAGGGCCCCTGTACACCCTTTCATTCCCTAAGCCATGTTTCCCAAAATTTGATTATGGCAAATGGCATGAAATGAAATAGCATACTTATTTGAACGGTTGCATTAATCTGACTTTCTGCCTCTAATTTCTTTTACTTCCTTTTTTTTTTTTCTTGAGATGAAGTTTCCGTCTTGTTGCCCAGGCTGGAGTGCAATGGCATGATCTCGGCTCACTGCAACCTCTACCTCCTGGGTTCAAGCGATTCTCCTGCCTCAGCCTCCCGAGTAGCTGGGATTATAGACATATGCTACCACGCCCGGCTAATTTTGTATTCTTAGTAGAGATGGGATTTTTCCGTGTTGGTCAGGCTGGTCTTGAATTCGTGACATTAGGTGGTCCGCCCACCTTGGCCTCCCAAATTGCTGAGATTGCAGGCATGAGCCACCGTGCCTGGCCCAGAGCCTATACTCTTAACCATTTGCTATGCTGTGAGAAGACCATGTTTCAAATTTTTTCACCTGCCAATACCGATTGTACAGTTCTTAAGTTATTGTCAGTTTGGCTGTTTCGTTCTTTTGTTTATTGATTTTTTCCATTTATCAAATATTTATCAAATATGTTTCATGCACCAGGTTGTTAGGTATGATCCTAACCAATGAGGATATAAAGATTATCCAAATAGGATTTCTTCTTTCTGGAAGTTCACAATCTAGCATGATGCCACCATCTCTTTTCTGCTTATTAGGTGCCTTGCAGATGGAATAAATCTCATTTCTTCCTGAGTTCTGTTCTTTTTTTTTTTTTTTCCTGAGGTCTGTTCTTTGCAACAGAATCTGATAGATTTTTGCAATGCTATTAATGGAAATTGTTTTTGGCATACAAAAAAGTAAAGCTTCTTGTGCTGGATTTTCCTAATACTCATTTTTGGATATTTACTATAGCCTGAGGAAAAAGGTTTAGTAGGGGAGGAGATGATGTTTTAGAAAAGGTATGAGGTGGTCAGGTGTGGCCTAGCACTTGGGAGATTGGGGTTGGAGAATCACTTAAGCCCAGGAGTTCAAGACCGGCCTGGGAAATATAGTGAGACGCTGTCTCTTAAAAAGAGGGAACAGATATGCGGTAATGAGCAGTATCAGATAAAAGAAAAAACCTAAGTTTCTGCTTAACTTTCAGTTACTTATATAATGTAATTTAGTCAGAGTGTTACTGTAAATAGGCATTACAGATATACTTATTTTTTTTCCTGCCACTGTCCACATTTGTCTTTTTTTTTTTTTTTATCGTCAACAGTTCTTTCCCATTCCTCTTTTTGTACACACTTAATCTTTTTATCTCCTGCTACCACTGTTAGCTTGAAGGATATATAGTCAGCATTTTCCTTTAGTTGCTTGATCCTTTAACACCTGTAAAAGCCAAGGAAGGGTTCAGTAGAAGTAGTTAAATGTTCATTTAATCAGATCTATAATCTGCTTTGTCTTAAGCCTGTGCTAATTGGTATTGGATCATGGTATATGCTAGTATTTCATAGTTATATTTTTTCTAGAATGTTTATTGCAGTATTTTTTTAAAAAAATATTAAGTAACCTGGGGCAAAAGATTTTATATGTCTGTTTTTTTCTAAGACAAATATTGGAGAAAAAAATGTATATTCATACATATTTGATGATTCCTGTGAAGTAAATTATATAGATGACAAATGAATAAAATTATGATACTGTAAATTCTAGCTGTATTAGAAGCATGTTTAATTGTGTCAAATTACTTTTAATTGATAGATCATGCTACCATTAGAAATTGAGTCACAGTATATGCTATAGTCAGAAGATAGAGTAGGGAATATTACTGTCTTTTTCTTATCCAATATTAGGTCTGTATTTTATCCATCTCGTAGGCGTTGAGTTCTGTTAAAATTTTTATTGAATACCTTTTGTCGTTTTGTTCCTGAAGATCTATGAGGAAATAGATGCTTATGTTTTTCCCCTTTTTTCCCCCTAGGTAACAACTCCAAGTTTCCTTTGGATAGATCACCTGTTCGAAATCGGGGAGATGGAGATGGAGATTTTCAGTTCAGACCATTTTTTGTAGGTTCTCCCACAGCACCTGAACCCAGCAACAGCTTTTTTAGTTTTGCCTCTCCAAGTCGTGAATTAGAGCACCAGCAAGTTTCTAGCAGGGCCTTCAAAGTAAAAAGAATTTGATCCAGTTATGGTTTCACACACCTGTGATCCCAGCTGCTTAGGGGGCTGAGGCTGGGAAGATCACTTGAGCCCAGGAGTCTAAGGCTATAGTGATCTAAGATCATGCCACTGCACTCCAGCTTAAGCAACAGAATGAGACCCTGTTTCTTAAAAAAAAAAAAAAAGTGAAAGGTAATTTAGCCAACTTTACAGAATGTTTCTATGTTCACCTTCAGTGATTTCATTTAGCAAATCCTTTTTCTAGATAGAGACTCCCGAAGCCTCCCTGAGCTTTTAAGTCTCTGAAGTTGTCTTCACATTATCAACATAACCAACTCATCAGTGGGGAGTGGTTTAGAGTCTGGTCTCTTTGTTTCTATTATTTAAAGCATGAGCATTTTATTAATCTCAATTCCATTGTGAACTGCTGAATTTTCATCCCTAGTGAGAAGGTTACAATAGCATTTGTTTCAATGGATAACTGTTTCTTTATGGGCGGTTTCTGACTGAGCTGTGTTGTTTATGCCTTAAGTACCTGTGTTATATGCTACATGTCACTTTGAATTCTGCTGTTTATACATGTCTATATATGTAAGCATATTAATTTCCAGTGTTATTTTGCTGTATTTGCCAGTATGTTTATATGAAAATTTTGGTCTTGGAAAATGGTGGGTGCTATGTGGCTTGTTATTTGGGTATGTGTATTTATTTGTATATATTTATGTATTTACCTTTATATTAACTTGTTTGGAGGTATGCTTATGTCAGTGTATGAGAGTACAATTTGATACATGTATGTTCAGTCCCCATTTGTATTTAAGAATAACTCACACTGCTAAAGTTATTTTTTAAAGTTGATTTTTTTGGCGTTTATGGTTGGCCCTCTGTCCACATGTTCTGCATCTGCAAATTTAGACAACCATCTATCAAAAATATTCAAGAAAAAAAAATAATCTAACATAAAAAATACAAATTAAAAACCAATACTGTAAAACAACTATTTGGATAGCATTTACATAGTAGGTATTATCAATAATTTAGAGGTGATTTAAAGTATTTGGGAGAGTCTGTAGGTTATATGCAAATATGATGCTATTTTATAAAAGCGACATGAGCGTCCAAGGATTTTGGTATCCATGAGGGTTCCTGGAACCAGTCCCCCAGAGATACCAAAGGACACTATTTTAAAATAAAGCTACTTCTCTACCTTTTTGTCAACTGTTGCCTTGGGTTTACTTATTTAGGAATGCACTTCTGCCGAAAGTTTACCAACGTGTTACTGCTCTCAAGAGACTGTATTAAAATAATTTAAAAGATTATTTCTTGTTTCCTTTATTAAGTAGTGAGCATTTCTGACTATTATTATGGAAATTATGTTGATGCATTTGTTTAAAATGTAGAGCCATAATAAAATTTGAAGGACATTCTCAGTAACTTATTTTTTGCTTTCTCATCCCTTTATTCCATTCTTCTCATCCTTCAGGTAACCGTGTTTATTAGATCTTGATTTAGGCTTCCAGTGTTTTTTTCTTTTTTTAAATTATACTTTAAGCTCTGGGGTACATATGCAGAACGTGCAGGATTGTTACATAGTTATACACATGCCATGGCCATTTGCTGCATCCATCACCCTGTCATCTACATTAGGTATTTCTCCTAATGCTATCTCACCTCTACCCTCCCACCCACCAACAGACCCCAGTGTATAATGTTCCCCTCCCTGTGTCCGTGTGTTCTCATTGTTCAACTCCCACTTATGAGTGAAAACGTGGTGTTTGGTTTTCTGTTCTTGTGTTTGCTGGGACATTCTCAGTAACTTTATGTCCTGTTACAGGAAAGACTTGAAAACATACTGGCTGGCGAGACAGAACATCTGGGCTCTGGTTATGGTTTTTTCTACTGAGTTTAAACTTTCTTGGACTTTGTATCTGTAAAATGAAGGATTGAATTAAGTTATCCTATGGCCTTTTCTAACTCTTAAATTTTATGATTGATTCTTACTGGTTTAGGATGTGTTAACAATGGAATTACCCTAAATGCCAAATCCCATTGTTTTTTAGTAATAAAAATTATACTGAAATCATTTCAAGATAATTTAGTCATTGTAGAAAGGCAATTAAATATCCCTGTTTTACATAATTGAAAAGTAGTTTCCTTCACTGGGAATATAGAGTATAAAATCTAAAAATTATTCATAGTGTGCACCAAAGTTATTTGTTACTGCTTTTTTTGTGACAAGAGTCTTGCGTCACCCAGGCTGGAGTGCAGTGGCGCATCTTGACTCACTGCAACCTCTGCCTCCTTCCTGGGTTCAAGTGGTTCTCCTGCCTTGGCCTCCTAAGTAGTTGGGATTACAGGTGCATGCCACCACACCTGGATAATTTTTGTATATTTAGTAGAGATGGAATTTCACCACATTGACCAGGTTGGTCTTGAACTCCTGACTTCAAGTGGTCTGCCCACCTTGGCCTCCCAAAGTGCTGGGATTACAGGCATGAGCCACTGGGCCCAGCTTAGTGTGCACCAAAGTTAAATTGTCTGAGAAAGGATGAAAAATTTCAAATTGTAAGTTTTAAAACATCCCTCATTTTACAGCTAATGACGTAGATTTTATAGGTTACGATACAAACTATGTTGGAAAATGATTTGAGGAAAAGATTTTATGTACATTCATGATTTCTGCCTTGAAAGTTTTGCTTCTTTGTTAGGTTCACAGAATCAGCTTGAAGCTGTAATTAAAACTAAAAAAGTAAAGTGAAACTGTCAGGAATATTACATGACACTTTAAAAGATATATTCACAAGGGACAAACTTGAAAGTTACAAAAAAGGCATAGAGTGAAAAGTCTACCGCAGTCTCTAGTCACTCATTTTTGCTCCAGCCACTCCTCTTTGTAAACAATAGTGTTGCCAGTATCTTGTGTCTCTTTCCAGAGACTGTGTAAAAGCAAATAATTTATTTAAAAATTGTTTATATTTGAATAGGTGATGCATATAGATGGCAAGAAAATTCAAAAGGGCAGGCAGTAAAAATTTTCTTTGCCTACCTACAGCTCCGCTGTTTCTGTTCCCTCTGTAGAGACAGTCATCATTTCTTATGTATACTGGATGTTGTCTAACAATATGGAGGCATTATTAGTGTACAAATGATGGTTTTATGAGCAATCCCAAGTGTAGTATTTATTAGGATAGTGCATTAAAATGATAAAGTTAATCATACATAGGAAATTATTGCAAAGTTTGGGAAAGATTCAATAAAGTAGCCATTGTACATGGCTTTCAAAATTTCAAACACAGGTGTGCACTTCTTAACCTCTCTTCTTTATGGAGTATTGTAATCTTGGTATAAGTAATTAGGAAAATATGAAACAAGAATATAGAATTAAGTTGAGAACATTTTGTTTCCAGGATCTGGGAAAGAAACAAGTTTATGCACTCAAAAGTGATTGTAGGGCATCTCTGTGCTCTACGACATGGGTTAAGTTGGTTTCAAGCAGAGCCCTTCAGGTGCAGATAAGCCTCCAGAGCCTCAGATGTCGCTGTGGTCCCGCGGTGGGAGAGGGCGTGCGTCTCTGTGGTTATAAAGTTGGGGGCGGAGAAGCGTAGAGTGGCTGGGAGATGATGGCTGATGAAGAGGAAGAAGTCAAGCCGATCTTGCAGAAATTGCAGGTGAGGCCGTAGATTAAAATCTGTATGTGCTTTTGTTATTCCAAAAGAAGCAGGGAGTCCAGTTTACGTAGTGTCCGCGAATTCCCTGGCACATAGGCGAAGCTGCATGCGTCTGTGCGGTTACTATAACAACCCTCCAAGGTGCAGCCGCAGCCAGCCAGGGAGCCTCCTAGTGTGCTGGGACCTCCTACTGCCGACCTGACTGCGGTTAATTTCAGTCCTGTGTGAAAGAGGATTTGTTGCTCCTAACTATTCGTGTGTATTTTTAGAGAGGACGTTGTTTTCTTGATTCATCCATAGCGAATAGCATATACATGTGTATGGCAGATCTGCATGAACTATTATCACATGTTGTTTTGATCCCTACAAAAGCCATTTAACACCTTTCCGCTTTGAATTTGGCAACAATCACACTAATAACCTGCACCGCAAGTATCCCGGTTGCTCTTCTTAGGACTTCAGTTTTGATTTTCAACATGTGTAATCCCACTTTGGGGTCTGATGCAGAGGTTTCCAGATTCCACGTAGTCCACAGGTGACTGTGCTTCTGATTAAGACTAGTCTTTTGGACTCGGTAGCGAGGTGCTAACTAGTTGCTTGGCTCTTTGCCTTTAAGGACCCAAGATTTTCCTTAAACCTCAGGAACTCAGTTCTTCGTTCTAAGACAGCCTGTGATTTAAATATTAGAACTATGACAGGCTTGTAACTTGCCCAAGCGCAAAAATTTAAATATTGATGAAATTTGTTTCTTGAGTATATTAAAATAGTAACACTTTTTAGAGTGTTCCAACTGATTTGGATTAACTTCGTTTTTTCCCCTAATTGTGACTGGCTGAAATCAGAGATTCTCAATTCTGGTTCTATATTATAAACATTATTTGTGTATATATGTTTGTATCTGTACAGAAAATAGTCTGAAAAGGTATACAAATCAGTGGTTATCACTGAGGTTGTTTGGGGGAGTTTTTTACTTTCAGTTTTTTATATGTATCTATTTGGATTTTAACAACTTACATGTATTGATTTTGCCATAAGAATATAAGTTTCTACAAATGTTTGGTCCAGGGGAAAACAAAACCAAACAATTTCTTGAATATTTGCTTTAACAACTAAAACCAATCAATAAGTCCCTCTCTAAAACCCTTAATTTGCAGCCATGTTGATTGCAGGACGAAAAGAAATTGGTTTTTATTTTTTATGAGAATTTCCTTTTCCTAGGTTCATTTGTGGTAAATGTCCTAAGCAGCTTGGGAAAGGATACTTAGGTTATCTTGGTGTGGAGTAGGTGCAGGAATGGAAGGAGGAGAGAAGAGGAAAAGGATTAGATAGTGGTGTTCCTGTTCATGGAAATGGTGGTAAGCTTTTATTTTATTGTTATAGACATTTTGGTGTAAAAGGAATGTATAAAAAGATATTTCTCAAAGTGTCTTTTTTTTTTTTTTTTTTTTTTTTGAGACGGAGTTTCACTCTTGTTACCCAGGCTGGAGTGCAATGGCGCGATCTCGGCTCACCGCAACCTTCGCCTCCTGGGTTCAGGCAATTCTCCTGCCTCAGCCTCCTGAGTAGCTGGGATTACAGGCATGCGCCACCATGCCCAGTTAATTTTTTGTATTTTTAGTAGAGACGGGGTTTCACCATGTTGACCAGGATGGTCTCGATCTCTTGACCTCGTGATCCACCCGCCTCTGCCTCTCAAAGTGCTGGGATTACAGGCTTGAGCCACCGCGCCTGGCCTCAAAGTGTCTTTTACAGACAGTTTTCATTACAATCATCTGGGGTGCCTGTTAAAAATGCAGAATTTTGAGTTCTGCTAAACTGTTAAAATCAGAGTCTCTGCAGGCTGAGTCCTGGATGTAATACAATAAAGTGTGAAAAGCATTACTGCAGAGAGTGCTAGTCTGTTCTCTTCATTCTGGGTAGGATTTTAAATTAAATATAGCACATATATATTTGTTAGAACAGGGATAATTAGCTAATTCAATCAAGTATATTGAATGAGAGTCTAGCATGTCCCAAGCCCTCTTCTGGGGCTCAAGCGTAGCTCGAAACAAAACAGATTAAAGGTCTTTCCATCATGGAGCTTACATTTCAGTGGTGGAGGCAGACAATAGACAATGATAGGGCACATGATTTTAAATGGTAAGTATGAAGAAAAACGAGTATGATTTAACAGTAGAGGAGAGAAGAAAGGGATTCATTTAGGTTGAGTAATTAGGAAAAACCTTTCTGAGAGTTGATATTTGAGCTAAGATGTAAATGTTGATGAGGAATAAGTCATGCAGAGATCTGGAGAAAGTGTCCAGGTATAAGGAAAAGCATGCGTGAAGGCTCCCAGGTGGGCCGAGCTTGATGGGTTTGAGAAACTGTATGAAGGCCACTGTCGCTTGAGTATTGTAGGAGAGAGAGCGATGAGAAGTGAAGTTAGTGTCAGGATGGGTGGTGGTAGGTCAGCTCATATAGTCTTCTAGGCCATGATAAAGATTTGGATTTTATTCTGTCTGTGATGGGAAACTATCTGAAGGTTTGTGATATGATGTACATTTTTTTATGTGAGGAGTGAGGAGAATGGGAGAGTACAGAAACAAGGTGACTGGTTAAGAAGCTCTTGCAGTCCAGGCAAGTAATGAAGCTGATGTAATCCAGAAATGGTCATAGTGAGATAGAGACAGGTGGATGAATTCAGGATGTGTCGTGAAGACAGTTGATTAGACTCGATGGGAATTGATTATATATTTCTGCTGCTATCCAGTTTCAGGAAAGAATAGGGTGAGTATCTCTTATCTGAAATGCCTAGAACTAGAGGTTTTTTGGATTTTGGATTTCTAAAAATTTTGGAATATCTGCATATACATAACGAGATAACTCAGGAATGGGACCTGAGTTATGAAATATGAAACTTGGTGGCTAATGCCTGTAGTACCAGCACTTTGGGAGCCTGAGGTGGGAGGATTTGCTTGAAATCAGGAGTTTGAGACCAGCCTGGGCAACCTAACAAGACCCTGTCTTTTAAGAAAGGAAAAAAAAATTGTTTCATTTAGACTTTATATAAATAGGCTGAAGGTAATTTGACACAGTTTTTAAAATAATTTTGTGCCTGAAACAAAGTTTTGACTGTGTTTTGACTGTCAGGTGTGGAATTTTCTACTTGTAGTGTCATGTCAGCATCTAAAAAGTTTCGGATTTTGAAGGATTTCAGATTTTTGGATTAAGGATGCTTGGCCTGCAGTGCAGAAGCTTTGCCTGGTATGACAGGAAGACTCGGAGGCATTTAGGAGGAAAGAGAATATTTACTTGTAAAAAATCCAAGACAGCCAGAAGATGACAAAAAAAATCAAACTAAACAAAACCACAATAAGCATTTCAAAGAACAAAATGCTGCAAAAATACCAAAATCACCAAGTTCAAGTGGGTATGTTTGTGTTGTAAAACAATGACTCTGTAACATGTTTATCGTATTCACAAAGGTTGTATTGTATTTTCAGATATCAGCGTATGAAAAATCAGGGATAAAATGGTTTTAGTTAAGAAGTCCAACTTTAGGCATACATTTCAAAGTGTTATTCTTTAAGGACCAGAACCATATAGAATGATCTTATTAATTTCTGGTTTATCTTAAGTTGCCTGTTTCCCTCCTCATGACTGTGGTATGTGAAGTGCTTAGTCATATTAGGAGCCCTGCTGGGGCAGGGAGAGAAAACGGTCATCATAGTACAGACACTGGCATGGGACAAGATGGGACCATGAGAGCTGGCCTGGAGTACTGGCTGCTCTTCCTCATGATTTGTGGCATTTTGGTAAACCTGTCTACCTGCCTATTGTGCCATTCCTAGGTGAGATAAGAGAATTGATATTTCTAGACCAAGAGCTGGTATGGCTAGCCAATTTCAAGTTTCCCTGTCCAGTGTTCTCTCCACTTAATGCTTCCATTGTCATACTTTTTAGGAACTAGTGGATCAGCTCTATTCATTTCGAGACTGCTATTTTGAGACACATAGTGTTGAGGAGGCTGGAAGGAAGCAACAGGATGTGCGAAAGGAGATGGAAAAGACCCTACAGCAGATGGAAGAAGTAGCGGGTATGAGCCCTAGAGATTGTATAAGCCCCCATCCATCACTGAAATGTGATCAACCTGTACTCCCTCTTTGTAGACTCTTTGGTATGCTGCCTGTTACTGCTATAGGGTAGTACAACGTAATATTACTTCTCAGGGCCCCTGTGCAACCTTTCATTCCCGAAGCTACTTTTCCTAAAATTTGATTATAGCAAACAGCATGAAATGAAAGAGCATACTTATTTGAACTATTGCAGTAATCTGACTTTCTGCCTCTAATTTCTCTCTCTCTCTCTCTCTTTTTTTTTTTTTTTTTTTGAGACGGAGTTTCACTCTTGTTGCCCAGGTTGGAGTGCAATGCCATGATCATGGCTCACTGCAACCTCTGCCTCCTGGGTTCAAGCGATTCTTCTGCCTCAGCCTCCCGAATAGCTGGGATTACAGGCATGCACCACCACGCCCGGCTAATTTTGTATTTTCAGTAGAGATGAGGTTTCTCCTTGTTGGTCAGACTGGTCTCAAACTCCCTACCTCAGGTGATCTGCCTGCCTCAGCTTCCCAAAGTGCTGGGATTACAGGCGTGAGCCACCACACCTGGCCTCTTTAATTTCAAATCCACTTGTATAATGACCATGGCCATGGTTATCTTTCTAAATCATTACTTCATGCATTTAACCTTATCCTCCTATCTGCCTTTTTGCTCTGGTATCTTTAAAGATTCATACGATTGACTAGCTGAAGTCCAACCCCCTTAACCTGGCATTTAAGTGTCCATTGTTTTACTCTGTTTTCTTTTCTTTTTTTTTTTTTTTGAGACAGAGTGCAGTACCACCATCTCAGTTCACTGCAACTTCTGTTTTCCGATTTCAAGCAATTCTCCTGCCTCAGCCTCCCAAGTAGCTGGGACTACAGGCATGCATCACCACGCCCGGCTAATTTTTTGTACTTTTTTTAAGTAGAGATGGGGTTTCACCATGTTGGCCAAGATGGTCTTGATCTCTTGACCTTGTGATCCACCTGCCTCTGCCTCCCAAAGTGCTGGGATTCCAGGCGTGAGCCACCGCCCCCGGCCTTTACTCTGTTTTCTAACCTTATCTATGACGAATTACTTATAGAGGAAGTTTCTGTTTCATCCAGGTTGAACCGTCTATTCTCCGGTGATTATGGCCACATGTAGTTCTGCCTCTGTGTCTTTGTTTATATCATTTTCTAACCTGGAAGGTCTTTTCTTCTCTCTGTCCCCTTTTTTTGTTTTAACAGTAGCTGTTTGTCCTGATTCTTTTTCTCTTGACTTTTTAAAGCCCATTTGTTGGGCCAGTGTCATATGCTCTTTTTCATGGTTTTAATTTTTAATATCTATGCTTTGTCTTTTCCAACCCTCTAGGAGAGTTAGCAGCCAAACTGATCCTTGTAGTTAGGGGCCCGAGAAACAGATGGCAGAAGCTCTAGAAATAGTGCTTTCTTTGGATGGAGATTCTCCAGAAAATTAAAAAGAAAAAAAAATAATGCTTTATTTGTTGCCCAGTTAGCTAACATAGCACTCTGCTTATGGCGAGCTTTTAATAAATGGTTTGTTGATAAAGATTTTCATCAACTCTTTTTATTCCTAAAACTGACATGTAATTAGTTATTTTTTGAGAGAAGGTGCCCTGCCATTAACTATTGCTTTTTTCCACTTTATCTTTTTTTCTTCCTCTTAGGTTCTGTCCAGGGCAAGGCACAAGTTCTAATGCTAACTGGGAAAGCACTAAATGTGACTCCTGACTATAGCCCTAAAGCTGAGGAGCTTCTGTCAAAGGCTGTGAAGCTGGAGCCCAAGCTGGTGGAAGCCTGGAACCAGCTGGGCGAGGTGTACTGGAAAAAAGGGGATGTTGCAGCTGCCCACACCTGCTTCAAAGGAGCTCTCACCCATGTGAGCTGCCCACTATTCCTTTGGAAAACACAGATGGGAAGGATGAATTTCTTTGGTTCTATGAGTTTCCCTAGAAGATGAAAACTAGAGTAGAACTGAGTTTGAACTAGGAGAAGAGAATCAGAAGGGAGGAAAGGTCAGAGGAACAGCAGACCTAGAGGAGGAAAATAGAGGCAGAGGGCTGGGAAAGAAAGATGATGATGGGATCAGGTTCAGGTGGAGAAAGGAAGTGAAGAAAAGTTAGCAACTATGCTGATCCTTGTAGATGGGGGTTGAAGATACAGATGGCAGCAAGAATTTAGATGAAAAATTAGGGCTGGGTGTGGTAGCTTACACCTGTAATCATAGCACTTTGAGAAGCTGAGGCAGGAGGATCATTTGAGCTCAAGAGTTTGAGACCAGCTTAGGCAACATAGTGAGACCTTGTCTCTTTAAAAAAAAAGAAATATATATGTACACACACACACACACACACACACACACACACACGTACATATATATGTATATATGTGTACATATATATACACAAACGTACACATACATATATATGCCAGACGTGGTGGCTCATGCCTGTAATCCCAGCACTTTGGGAGGCCAAGGTGGGCAGATCGTTTGAAGTTAGGAGTTCGAGACCAGGCTGGCCAACATGGTGAAACCTTGCCTCTACCAAAAAATACAAAAATTAGCTGGGTATGGTTGCATGTGGCTGTAATCCCAGTTACTTGGGAGGCTGAGGCACAAGAATCACTTGAACCCAGGAGGTGGAGGTCACTGTGAACCGAGATCATGCCACTGTACTCCATCCTGGGTGACAGAGTGAGACCCTGTCTCAAAAAAAAAATTATGGCCAGGTGCGGTGGCTCATGCCTATAATCCCAACACTTTGGGAGGCTGAGGTGGGTGGATCACTTTAGGTCAGGAGTTCGAGACCAGCCTGGCCAACATGGTAAAATTCAGTTTCTCCTAAAAATACAAAAATTAGCTGGGCATGGTGGTGCATGCCTGTAGTCCCAGCTACTTGGGAAGCTGAGGCAGGAGAATGCTTGAACTTGGTAGGTGCAGGTTGCAGTAAGCTGAGATCGCGCCACTGCACTCCAGGCTGGGCGACAGAGCAAGATTCCATCTCAAAAAAAAAAAAAAGATGAAAAATTAATTGTAGAAGATTGAGTTCAGAATAGATCTAGAAAGAGGAGGTAGAATCAGGAAACCTGAGTATACGTCTTTTCTATTTGCAGTGCAGAAACAAAGTCTCTTTGCAAAACTTGTCAATGGTGCTTCGCCAGCTGCGGACTGACACTGAAGATGAACATTCTCAGCATGTCATGGACAGTGTCCGACAGGCTAAGTTAGCTGTTCAGATGGATGTCCATGATGGCCGCTCCTGGTGTGAGTGCTCTCAATCTTCAATAGGCTTCTAGAGCAGATGTTTTCAATCATTGCAACATTTGCAGTCTGTCTTTTAAGTTTGACTCTGAGGTTTAAGCCAGGGCATCTTTGCTTTGAAGGCACATGAGAGACATTTTGGTGAACTACTTTTCTAGGAACTGTTAGATCTTTTGATCCTAATTTTCACATAAGCATGGCAGGGCTTTTTACAGTCTGTTCAAATTTCAGTTTGGGGTCCATGTTTGTTGCTCTATACTAGTGGAATTTTGGGTGTACTAAGTATTGTATCATTCCTGGTTTGGGTTTCATGTGGGACCTTTCAAGTATACTTTCAAGGATGATCAAAATAAGTCATATCTTGAACTTGGGCTCTGAAATGATTCATCACTGTGCTTCTCTTTCAGATATTCTTGGGAATTCATATCTTTCTCTTTACTTCAATACTGGCCAGAACCCCAAGATCTCCCAACAAGCCCTCAGTGCCTATGCCCAAGCAGTAAGTACTTATGGTCACCAGGGCAGATGAATAGGCAGCAACAGAAGCAGAAGCATCATTCAGTCTTCTCTGTGGCCCTTTAGCAAGCATCATGGGCAGTGGCAGTGTTTGCTGGCATCTCGTGTGTGATTTTGCAAAGATGTGTCTGCAGAGGTGACTGACTTTTATAAGTTGAGTGTTAGGAACGACTTACATTGTGGTACATTGGTGTTGGATAGCTCCTTGACCTGTCTAGGTTTCTTACACGCATGTGCAGCCAAATCACAGAGCTGCCTCAATGTGTTCATCTTAATTAATGGGAAAAAAATCTATTAAAATAATGCTTATTAATATTTTTGTACATTCATTTTAAAGAAAAATGAAACCTATACTTCAGTGTAAATTAAGTGCTATCCCCAAATTAACTGTTAGACAGTATGGCTCTGGATTTTCTGTGGGCTAAAAGAAAAAACAGTGTGTAGCTTGTTCTGCATCATTTCCTAGGAATTAAGTGAAACAGGTTATTTGGGTTTTGAAGACATTTAGGTTTTCAAGCATTTTTATATTGATAGACATTTGCATAAGGCTTTCCCTCAGACTTTTAGCGTCTTTTTTCTCATTATTAGAATTGGCTTCTCAGTTAACATTGGCCTTTGAGCACTTTTTATTTAGCTCTCATATTTACCTTTCTTCTTTTGCTTTCTTGCTTCTCTTGATATAGATAATTGCTTTTTAATTATCATTATTTATTCTGCTCCATGTGGTAGAATAAAGAACACAGCTAGTGTATATTCACGATTGCAATTCAGGGACTGCCCTTTAAAATTTATTTTTCTCCCCGCTCCTGTCATCCTCCCCGCAAGTCTACCTTTGACTTTAAACTACTCTTTTCCAACTTGGGAACTTATAGAGCAATTATATTTTACTCTAATTTCTTAATTTGGTATTTACATTTCAAAGAATAGTATGATATATTCCTTAAACATTTTATATTTGGCTTCTGCTAAATAGTTGCTTTTTAATCTTAATTTTTTTGCCCAGACCTGCATTTGTAAACATATCTGAACCAACTATTTAAACAATTTTAATTCATGGTGTTTTGCTTTTACAATGCACCAGGTAATGAGGAGATTTAAAAAAATATAGTGAGCATAGTCATGAACATAGCTAGCAGCTTCTTCACAGCACATTGCCTGCACTGTCTCGTGGTATCTGGCCATCTATTTTATCTTTTTTAAAAAAATTCTTTATCTAGCCATCTATTTTAGTTAGAACCTGAATTTGGCTTTCTATGTGTGTTTTAAGGGGACTTGGATGTAGAAACATGATTCTGCATGTGTCTGGAGCCAGGTTTATGGGGAGAGGAAATGCGTGAAATGAACATCATTTCCAGCCTAGCTTTTCTTCATTTATTACCAGCACCTCACTATTTAAATTTTTAAAAATCAAAATGACTTCACGTATTTCATTTATTTATTTATTTATCATTTTTGAGATGGAGTCTTGCTCTGTCACCCAGGCTGAAGTGCAGTTGTGCGATCTTGGCTAACTGCAACCTCTGCCTTCTGGGTTCAGGCAATTCTCCAGCCTCAGCCTCCTGAATTGCAGGAATTACAGGTGCATGCCACCATTCCCAGCTAATTTTTGTATTTTTAGTGGAGACAGGGTTTCGCCATGTTGGCCAGGCTGGTCTTGAGCTTCTGACCTCAAGTGACCTGTCCACCTCGACTTTCCAAAATGCTGGGATTACAGGCGTGAGCCACCGTGCCTGGCCCACGTATTTCATTTATATAAAGATTTATTCTGTCTTTATAATATTACATGGATAAATTATAATCACATTTGAAAGTCTCACACATACAAAAACACTTATATTCCTAAGGTTTTAGGGACTAACATACCCACACTGTTTGTTATATGGTAACTGCTTCTGTGGGATAGGTAACATTTTGGCAAGGAAGAAATTTCTATTTTTCTAGGAAGAGGAGGTGTAGCACATGTTGGGCATGGCAATCCTTAACATTGAGACAGGATCCACTGATAAACTTTTTATCCCATTATAGGAGAAGGTTGACAGGAAAGCTTCTAGCAATCCTGACCTTCATCTGAACAGGGCGACGGTAAGACCTTTGGGATATAGTCATCTGAGGGTCAAATAAATAAGACACCTAGGTCTTAGCTTGCGAGGATAACTGAGTGTACATAGGGACAAGATTGGGTACAGACTGCGAGAGGAAAGCTGTGCTATTTCTGTAAAGAATTAGCTTGATTTGGCTTCAGGATCTGGTGTAGCCACTGGAGGGAAAGGAGAAGGGGCTGAGGAGGTGGAAGAATATGTAGAAAACGGGGAGATCTTTTAGAAGACTTCTGAAATGTTAAGTAAATATAAAGGTCAAGTGACCCAATATATACAACTTAACTATTTTAGAGTTTGGAAATTAGCTTCTTTGAAATGATTCCGTCTTTGGGGTTGTGATCATCATGGCTAGGAAGAAGGCTGTAAGGTGCTACCAGCTCTTCAGGCTGTTCATGGTAGCATAGGAAAATAGCAGGAAGGAAAAAGTTTATTTCTCTAGATTCCTAGCCCATGGTGCCATTATTCCCTCAGCATAGTTTGTTTGGATATACCTGTAATTGGGATATACTTCTTGTACAGTTGCATAAATATGAAGAGAATTATGGGGAGGCCCTGGAGGGCTTCTCTCGGGCTGTAGCCCTGGACCCTGCCTGGCCAGAGCCCCGGCAACGAGAGCAACAACTTCTGGAATTCCTGGATAGATTAACCAGCCTCCTTGAGAGTAAGGTAAAAATGTCTAAAGGGCTGAATTCTACTTTTTAAAAATTTTGCCGTGGGTCAATAAAATAAGAATAAATAGGTTTAGGAGGTAGTAACCCTATAGAAGTGGTGGGAGGGAAGGATTAGAATCTCAAGGAAGGTGGTTAGTTTCCAGCTTCTTATCTGTTTCCCCTTCTTTGCAGGGAAAGGTGAAGGCCAAAAAGCTGCAGAGCATGCTGGGAAGCTTGCGCCCAGCCCATCTAGGCCCTTGTGGTGATGGACACTATCAGTCAGCCTCTGGGCAGAAAGTGACCCTAGAGCTTAAGCCACTGAGTACACTGCAGCCTGGGGTGAACAGTGGTGCCGTCATCCTGGGAAAGGTGGTATTTAGCCTCACCACAGAGGAGAAAGTCCCCTTGTGAGTTTCTCTTGGATTTTCCCCTTTTTAACCTTTTGAACTAATTGCTCTCACTTCCTCTTCTTTCTCTGGCAGTTGAGGACATTGTTAGTGGTCACAGATTTATGACTTCTGATTTCCTCTGTGACTATCCCATGGGCAGATACTGCCTAGGTGATATTTAACAATCTTTTGATCACAGAGGCTTTTGTAGATTCTGTCACTGCTCATTTTTTAGCCCTGAGTTTGCATAGTTGAAATTTGGCAGGACCTATTTTTTTTTTTTTTTATAAGACAGAAACCTTAAAATTCTGTCCTTTTGTGTTTTCATGATCACAGAAGTTAAAGGAGGACAAATTCTTACTCCTGTTTGTACTTAGGTATACTTAGGCCGTTCTGAAAATTGAGCTTTGAGTTATAACTTAAAGTCTGATTAGGAGATTGTCTTAGATGTCATTCAACAAATATTTATTGAGCATGTATATATGTCATAGGGAGTGAGAAAAAGGAAATGTAAAGGACACAGGTGCAGGTGCTTCTAGCAGCAGAGGAAATGAATTAAGAATATTTATTTAGAAAATTTTTTGATCTTGAAAAGTTAGGGTTTAGTGAGTGCCACCATTCCTTGATCCTTCACTCACTTCCTAATCCCTGGTAGACTGGCTTCCCCTTTCTCTCTTCTACTGAAATTGTTTTTTTGCTAGGATCACCATTGTCTTTCTAGGCACTGGATCCAGCGACTTCCATTGCATGGTTCCAAAACATTCTGACTATTGAATATCTCTCACTATTGCCTTTCACATCCCTTCTGTTCCATCCAAACGGAAATATTCACAATTCTCATTATATGCCCAAGCTTTCTCCATGGCATTTTCTATGGGTTTGTGTGTTTGATGAGTTGAAGAGCAAAAAGATGGTTGAGAACAGTTTGGTTAACTAGAGCAAACCCTAGAACTGAGAAGAATTATAAAGGGATATAAACAAAGGAAGGTTTTGGACGACTGTCAGAACAAATAGATATTTTGCAACTCCTTGGTTTCTGTTTTTGTGCCCAACTTTTAAATCTTGGGTTCTCAGGACTGTTTTTTTTTTTTTCTTTTTTCTCTTTATACCAGGATGGCCTCTAGTTGCCAACTTTGATCACTTGTCAGTGGTTGTGTGACATACTATGTAGAAGGATTCTGAGGCTTTGACTGGATCCATTAGGAGAGTGCTTTGCTTGATTACAGTGTTTCCTGTGAATTCAGGTGTGTCATGTGATGGCATGAGTACAGTTCTTCTCCATCCTATCTATAAATCATTGTGACTTGTGATGTCGTGTAAACCCAAGCCTCCTATATGCTCACAGATATATCTCCAGCCCAAGCTTCATTTCCAAGTTTTGGATCCCTGTAGACAACTGCCTCTGGGTTCCAATAAGAAATCTCTAACTCAGTATTTCAGTATTACTCACCTAAATCTGTCTCTGTAAACCTGCTTCTCCTCCTTGGATTCCCTGTGAATGAATGGTATCACTTCTCAGTCACTTGATTAAGACTTTTGGAAGAATAGGCTTCTCCATTCTCTTGCATTGAGGCCATTGCCAAGTTCTATAGATTTGCTTTTTCTTGTTCTGTAGACTTGACTTCTCTATCACCTTAATTCAGGCCCTTATCACTTCTCCAAATAGGTCTCCCTGATTCTCTGGTTTACTCCAGTGTTCCGCAGTGCTGTCAGAGAAACGTTTCTCAGATGTAAATCTGACCATTGCTACTTATTTAAGATCCTTATTGGTACTACATGTAGCTTTTGGGATAAAGTGTTTTTTTGTTTTGTTTTTTTTTTTTTTGAGACAGAGTCTTGCTCTGTCACCAGGCTGGAGTGCATTGGCGCAATCTCGGCTCACTGCAACCTCCACCTCCTGGGTTCAAGCGATACTTCCGCCTCAGCCTCCCGAGTAGCTGGGACCACAGGCGCGTACCACCACACCCAGCTAATTTTTTGTATTTTTAGTAGAGATGGGGTTTCACCGTGTTGGCCAGGATGGTCTCGATCTCTCGACCCCGTGATCTACCCACCTTGGCCTCCCAAAGTGTTGGGATTACAGGCGTGAGCCACCATACCTGGCCAGCTTTTGGGATAAAGTTTGAACTACCTAGCTTAGCATACAAAGTCTTTCATGATTTGCTCCTTGCTTTTTTTTCCATTATCTTCTGTCACTTTCCCACACGTGCCTTTTGTTTCAACCATGGAACTATTTTGTTAGTTTTAGAACAGCTGTTTTCAGGCCTCTGTGTCTTACATACAGTTGCTTTGCCTGGATAATCTCTAGCTTCTTCTTGACATAGCTAACATCTCCTGCCCCCAACATTTTGTTATAAAAATTTTCAAACATACAGCTAAGTTGAAAGATTTTCACATTGAACGTCTGTGTTCTCAACCACTTATATTCTTCTATTAACATTTTATTTTACTTAGCTTATCACATATCTGTCTGTTTATCCTGTCATCAGAGTAAATTACAGAGATCAATGTACTTTCCTCTACATATTTCAGCATGCAGTTATTAACTGAGTTCAGTATTTCTTTCGACTTTTTCTTTCTGTTTTTGAGATGGAGTTTTGTTCTTGTTGCCCAGCTGTAGTGCAATGGGGCATAATCTTGGCTCACTGCAACCGTCACCTCCCAGGTTCAAGTGATTCTTCTGCCTCAGCCTCCCAAGTAGCCGGGATTACAAGCGCCCACCACCATGCCTGGCTAATTTTTTTTTAGGGTTTCACCACATTGGCCAGGCTAGTCTTGAACTCCTGACCTCAGGTAATCCACCTGCCTCTGCCTCCCAAAGTGCTTGGATTGTAGGCATGAGCCATTGCGCCCAGCCCAATTTTTTCTTTTTATGTAAAATTTACATACAATGAAATGTACAAATCTAAGTGTACATTTTTTAGCTTTTGACAAATGGAAAATATTCATATAACCCGAATAGAGATCATTACCACCATTCCAGCAAGTTCCCTCATGTTCCCTCCAAGCCAATCTCTGTTCCTATCCCCCTAGAGGTTTTTAAAATTTTGACCAAGGATTAATTTTTCTATTTTAACTCAGGTGGTTTTTCACCCTTTAAGATTCACTTTGACCGTCTCTCTTCAAGGACATCTTTCCTGCTTTCCAGTTTTGATTTAGATATTTCTCCTCTGGGTTCTCACAATCCAATCTGTGGCTTCACTGAATTCAACAGAAAGGAAAAGTTATGCTATTACCCATCACACTGTACTGTTAAGTGATGACTTCATTGTCTGACTCCTACACTGTAGGTTGTTCATAGCTGGATTGGTATCTTACTACTAAACGCAATGCTTGGGACATAACGTAATATTTGGTGAAAGTTTGTGGAATTAAACTACACAGACAGCGATGGTTAGAGGCTTTGGTTAAGAGAACAATAATTAAATTGATAGATCAGGAATAATGTTACAACTGTAGCATTTTGGTCTAATTCATCATTAATACTTGTGGAATGGCTTCAGTGTGCTTTGTCTAAGTTCTTAGCAAAGTGACAGATTGATGAGTTTCAGAAAAATGAGAACTCAGATATACAAAGTGGAGGATGGTACCTCATAGGTTTTCTAAGTAACTGAGAAAAAGCATTTATTTATTTTGTTAGTATTTTATTTTTAAAATTTAATTAACTAAATTAAATTTCCTTTTTTGGTCCCCCTCCCCAACTAAATTAAATTTTATATTTTATTTTAATTATCTGTCACTGATTTTAAGTCCAGTATTTTGCTAGTCTTTTTAAACCACTGCTTCTGCTCTTCTTTCCTACCCACCTACCTTTTGTTTTCCTCTCTCCTAATCTGTCTTTACCTGGCAGTACATTTGGCCTGGTAGATTCAGATGGACCTTGCTGTGCAGTGATGGTATACAATATAGTGCAGAGCTGGGGAGTGCTCATTGGAGACTCGGTAGCCATCCCTGAGCCCAACCTGCGGCTTCACCGAATTCAGCACAAGGGAAAGGTGAGCGATGGCTAGGATTCTCTTCCAGTTCATAGGCTCTAAAAGTAGAACCAAGCTTATCTTTTTATATAAGATATAGAAATAATGTATATGTGAGTGTGTGTGTAGGCTATGTGTGTATATATTTGTGTGTGTATATGTTTTCTATATATATATATATATATATATATTTTACTAAAAAGGTAAACTGGTAAGCAAAAAAATAAAAAAATGGAGTGAAATATTATCACTCAGCTGTTGTATTATCACTCATATGTTACTACTGTTAACAGTTTGGTGTACAAATCTGAAGTCTTTTTCTTTTTATAAATATATGCACATATATTTTTATCTGTATTTTAAATCATGGGTAGGATATCATATGCAAATGCTTGTGAATATTTCCTGTGTTTTTACATATTTCACCACATTGAGTAGACACAGGGTGATGAAGATGGTAACAGTTAACATTTATTTAACACTTAATTGAGTGCTAGACACTGTGCTAAGAGTTTTATTGCCTGCCTTGCCTCATTCTGTTCTTATGAAAACCTTATGAATGTAGATATTTAACCACTGTTTAACCATTTAGATCAGGGGTTGGCAAAGCCCATTAACCAAATCTGGCTCACTGCATGATTTTATTTAGAGTGGTTTCTAGGCCGGGCATGGTGGCTCATCCCTATAATCCTAGCACTTTGGGAGGCCAAGGTGGGAGGGTCGCTCGAGTCCAGGAATTTAAGACCAGCCTGGGCAACATAGTGAGACCCTGTCTCTACAAAAGAAATGTTTAAAAATGTAGCCAGGCATGGTAGTATGTGCCTGTAGTCCCAGCTACTAAGGAGGTTGAAGTGAGAGAATCACTGTATCTCAGGAGTTTGAGGCTACAGTAAGTCATCATTGTCCCATTGCACGCCAGCCAGAGTAACAGAGCATCTCTGCCTCAAATAAGGAAAAAGAAAAAAAAAAAAAGAAAGAATGGTTTCTATGTTCTTAAATGAAAAAAACTGACAGAAGCATAATATTTTGTGATATGTGAAAATTACAGGAAATTCAGATTTTAGTGTCCACAAATAAAGCTTTATTGGAACACAGCCACACTTATTTGCTTACTACTGTCTGTGGCTGTATTTGTACTATAGTGAGGGGGGTGAAATTCTATAACAGAGACCATATGACCCACAAAGCCTAAAATATTTACTGTCTGGCCCTTTACAGAAAGACTTTGATGACCTCAGATCTAGGTTATTTCTAATTTTTTTCTATTATAAAAGTACTATAGTGAGCATTTTTATGTCTTTGCTTATATCTATGATTATTTCCTTAAATTAATTTATAATACAGAATCCTGGGTCCAAAGGGTATGCAGAATTCTGAGGGTTTTGATACATACTGCCAAATAGTTCTTTGGAAAATTGTACTAGTTAGTTGTCACTACCAACAGTGGATGTAAATAAGTGTTTCTCTGTAGTTTTTTTCTCAACTCTGGGTGGAAACCTTTGAAAAGTTATTTTCTAATTTTATATGAAAAATATCACATGAACATTATTTTAATTTATAGTTCTTCTATAAATTGCCATTTTTTGGTGTCACTTGTCCATATTTCTGTGAAGATTTTTTTTTTAAAAAATGATTTATGAGAACTTTTAAATTTATTTTACCTGGACTTAAAAGAGCCTGCTTCTCACAGCCATAATTTTTGGATAAAGATTATTTAACATGTTTTACAACTTAAAATACACTGGAGCTGATAAAGTGAGCTGATACCCTTTTTGTTATTAGAAAAATGGCTACATTCTGTTACATGTTCTATTTTTTCCTCTTGATGTAAAAGAGAATTAACTTTAATTTGTATTTGGTGGATTAATTTAGGACTTTATAAACATTTGGACTGAGATTTTCTTAGGATTCTCACTGGCTCTGGCCAGCTACTGTGTGTATCTAGTTAATTATCAGGAAACACCGTGGGAATGGGAAGATTCTGTGAGAACTGGTTGCATTCTTTTGTTACGCAATGCCAGGAACCTGCCTTTTTTGAATCAAAGAGCTGTCTCATTCTTGTAGTGACACTACATGGCCCTACATGCTTTGTTTTCCTTCTGAAGATTGAAAACTTTGGGAAAATTTCATCCCCTTTGTTAGCTCAGTTTTGTCTGATTGAGATGGAAGTAGAAGGGGTATACAATGGGGTATGCAATGGGGGAGATGGTCCAGAAAGTTGAAAGTGGTGTATGTATCCCCATGCTGGAGCTTTTTCCGTCTTGTGATCTGTAATGAACTTCTTTCTGTCTTTTCTAGGACTATTCCTTTTCCAGTGTTCGAGTGGAGACACCCCTCCTGCTAGTGGTGAATGGGAAGCCTCAGGGCTCTGGCAGTCAGGCTGCTGCCACAGTGGCATCGCGACCACAGTGTGAATGACCTTCTTTGACTTTCGTGCTCAACAGGGAGTGGAGGAGAGGAGACAAGGCCCTGGGCAGCTGGTCCAGCCACATTCAGTCATTCAGTAGGGATGGGAGGAATGTTTTAAATGAAGACTTTCCTTTCCCTGCCTGTATTACACTTTGTATTTCTTCTCTCTCTGTCCTCATGATGTTCCAGCTGTCTCCAGGGCCACATACTCTTCTGGCATATCTCTCCTGCCTCTTCCACTGCTCTCTATGTTTTAAGAAAACAACATGGAATTGGTAGAAGTCTCGGGAGCTTACCATGGGACAGAGTCCCCAAGTCTCCTGTTCTTGCCTCCTTCTTAAGCCTCATATGTATATATCAGTTCAATATTTATTGCTAAAGGAGGGGGCTTAATTTTATAATGGCTTTTTTTTTTTGAGCAATTTTTATTTTTATTTGTAAAATTTAGGTCCTTCCCCTTCTTCGGGGCTGGAACAGAATTAAATTTGTTTGGAAAAAAAAGTATCATGTAGTTTGGCCTACTTTATTCTCCCTAAGCTTATAGTCTTGGTTTTAGAATCACTTCAATATATTGGAGTAATACCACCCCCTTTTTTTTCTTTATACAAAGTAGTTTATTTCTCTCCCAGTGAAAAGAATTCTGACAATAGACAGTCCAGGGCAGGAATGGAAACTCCACAAAATTTCTAGAGACCAGCTTCCTTCCATTTTCCCATTCTGTCATTCCCTAGGGATGGTCTTCACTATGGTCCAAGATGGCAGAGCAATACTGTTGTAATAGTGTTGCTAGTCTGAAGGACTAGAGACAGTTAGATATTCAGTTTCTTTAGAGTGTAGTGACATGCTTTTGTAACAGTTTATCTTAATATCCTTGTGGTAAAATGGAGAAATGTGAGTATTAGCAACCAACTGAATGGCTATAATACATTAATGGATACAGATGAATTTAGAAGACCTCTGGTGAAATGGCTCAGATCTTTGTTCTTGGTTCAGTCCCGTTCAATTCTTGATCAGTGACTTGAATATCATCGATGACTCATTAAATGTATAAAGAATGCAGAGGACTCCTCAGAGAATGGATGAAAGAAATCCATTGATAAGAGAAGTTTATCAGTCAAGTCATAAAGGCTGAGCCTATTAAGATAAAATTTTCAGTCCATTCTTTTGGTCCAAAAAGGCTAACTTTCTTAGGCATCGCTTCAACATCATATATGAAAATTGCTAGAAATCTGATAGAGTTTGCAAAAACACTCTTTGTAGACTGCACCAAGAAACCTGTGGTAGACGTCGTTTTTATTACAAGTACTGTCTGTTTTTTCCCACATGTGGAGTCTTAATTTAGTTTTCAGTGTCGATTTTGAGGCCTAGAGCCATAGAAGAGTGATTAGGAGCTTGTGCGCTATAAAAATACCTTGAGAAATGACTGAAAGCAACTAGGGAAGGTGGGAGTAGTAAGTGGTGTGTGAAAGCATTTGAGACAGTGGAGATGTGGGACCCAAATACTGTTGCCCTTTTACTCAAGTTCTGAGATGAGTTGACATGTTCTGTGTAGGGCTAGAGAGTAGAAAAATGACCAGTAGGTGGTAACCAGAGAGAAGCAGTGCATGCAAACAAGTAAGTATGAAAAATATGTACATATGGTTTCAGGAATAACTGGAATACCCATAAAATAACCACCTGCCGTAGAAACTAGTACACCATTGATACCTTGGAAGCCCTTGTGTACCTCCCCATGATCTCATTTGTCTTCCTTCACAGCTATATGATATCTCATTGTACGATTATACCACAATGTATTCATCCTATTGTTAAAGGATATTTGGGTTTCTGGTTTTTCTTTTTTTGCTAGCAAAACACTGAATTATTAATATTCTTGTATATGTCCTGATATGTAAGTGCAAAAGTTTCTTTTATAGCAATGGTTCTTGAAGAATGGTTCCCAGACCAACAGCATCAGCATCCTTTGGAACTTCTTTGAAATGCAAATTATCAAGCCCCCTACCCAGACTTACTGAATTCAGAACTCTGGGGGAAGAGTCCAGCAATCTGTGTTTAGTAAATCCTCCAGGTGACTCTGATGCACACTAAAATTTGAGAACCACTGTTTAAGAGTATTGACATTGAATGGAATTGCTGGGTCATAGAGTTCAACTTTTTTGAGAAGCACTAAACATTTCTAAAGTTTCTATCAGTTAATGTCTCTACTGTCAATGGATGAGTCTCCCTAGTGCTCTCCATCCTCTTCTGTGCTTGGTATTATCTTACCTTTTAGATACTGCAAATACAGGAGATTCGAGTATTATTTACTTGTGGCCTTAATTTGCATTTTTTGGATTATTAATGAGCTTGAGCATCTTTTTGTGTATTTGGAAGCCACTAATATTTTCTCCTGGTAAAATGCCTATTCATTTCTTTGCACACTTCCGTATTGGATGTCAAATTGATTTATATGTTCCCTGTACTAATCTTGTCATTTTATGTGCTCAGACACCTAACAGTTTTGGCTTGTCTTTTTACTCTGTTGGGTCTTTTGCTCAACAGAAGTTCTGAATTTCAATGTCATTGAATTTATCCATCTTTTATGGTAATGATTTTTATGTTTTAAGAGGTTATTAGCTATCCTGAAGCCATAAGGACATTTTCCCTATCTATTATTTTATGAAGTTTATCATTTTGTCCTTTTCTTACAGTATGACTTTATTTTTGTTATGATGTAGGTATATAATTTTTTTCATAACGAATAATTAAGTAGCCCAGCACCTTTTATTAAAGAATCAATCCTTTCCTTACTGATTTTTAAAGCCCAGTCTGTTTTAAACCAACTTTCCATCTCTCTCTCTCTTTTTCTCTCCCTACCTGTCTGTCCATCCTTCTGTCCATCTGTCTGTCCATCCATCCATCCATCCATCCATCCATCCATCCATCCATCTATCCACACTGATCTTTAAAGCCCAGCCTGTCTTAACCAATTTTCCATATGTATCTCTCTTCTTGAGTTCTGGCTTTTTTTTTTTTTTTTTTTTTTTTTTTGACACAGAGTCTCACTCTGTTGCCCAGGCTAGAGTGCAGTAACACAATCGTGGCTCACTTGCAGCCTTGACCTTCCAGGCTCAAGCAGTCCTCTCACCTCAGCCTCCCAAGTTGCTGAGACTGCAGGTGTGTGCCACTATGCCTGGCTAATTTTTTAAGAATTAGCTGCTCAAGTGATCCTCCCATTCAAGTGATCCTCCTGCCTTGGCCTCCCACAGTGTTGGGATTACAGGTATGAGCCACCATGCCTGGCTCTCTATTCTGATCTGTTCTGCTCTGTTTATTTTTTTGCTGGTACTACATTGCCTTACAGTTTTATAAGAAGTCAGTATCTAATCACATAAGTTCTTTTATGTTGTTCTTCACAAGTGTCCCATTTACACTTTAAAATCAGCTTGTAACTTTTCATGAAAAATTCCCTGGAACTTTAATTGGGAATTATTTTAATTTGCATTGAATCTATGGATCACTTTAGGAAGAATAGGCATCTTCATAACACTGAATCTTCTTACCTCTTTTCTTTATGTAAGTAAGTCTTCCTCATTGTCTCTTTTTTTGTGACTATGTAATTTTACTGTTTCTGTAGTAGTTGCCAACTAGTGATAATCTAATTTCATTATTCCTTCTGCATTTACTAACTGCAATCAGACCCATCTATTTTTTGAATCCTAGCACTGCCCATTGAGCTGTACAATCTTAGGATACCAATAGGAAAGAAAAAAATTGTCTGCTCAGAATTTTGTTTGCAGTAAAAATGTGTATCTTTCCCTTGCTCTTCCTTTTCTCTCTTCCTGTTTAATTTCCTTCCCTCTGCTTTTGGCCGTGGAGGTTGGCCTTGGTTGCTGGGTTACCTTAGTCGTAGGATTAGAACACTCTAGAAGGCAGTGCGGGGAGGGAAAAGGTGAGCAGAGATGTGTGTTGTGGTGTATTAGCCAGCACCCAAGGATTCAAATAGGAAGTGGGAGGTAGTCACATCGAGGCACACTGGCAGCCACATTGGCAGCCAGCTAGCATGAGTACATGGAGGTATTAGGAGAATGTGAGATAGAGGCAGGGAACATTGGTGGTGTGGTTATGAGATTAGATTTTGAAACACATAAGGTACAAATAAGTAGATATATTAAGGTAAATGACAGCCAGTCTCTGACTGTTGAAAGAAGTATAAACATGGAAAAGAAAAAATGTCTATAAATAATTCTAGTAGATCAGAACTGGAGGCATTGTAAAGACCTCTGGTTTTTGATATGTACACACTGACAAATATATACGTGTCTGTGGTGTGTGTAAGAAATATATATATATGGTTATTAGCTATGTCTACTAAGAGGGTCAAATGCCTCACTGGTAGGAGTGATCATAGGTAATACTCTTGGTTTCTGCATAACATAAGAGGAAATCATATTCCTTAATGAAATTGCCAGTATCAACATGGCATCTGGAATTGTCTAAGCTGAGAATAGAACTTCCTATGTAAAAATATGAACTTTAAAAGTCTCCCACTGGCCAAATCTGGCACATAAGCATGAAAATAAGTGAGTGTAACAAAATGGAGCCCATTGGATAATATACAAATTGAGGAGTATTTTTGACATGAAGGTAAATTTAAAAAAATAGGTAAATGGAGGAGAATGGAGGAATACTCCTTAGAGTAGATGTCAACTACAGGATGTCTAGAGCTGCCATTAGGAAATCATCATAGTATTAGATGGTTTAGATAGGAGTTAATACAAAAAAAGCTGGTTAGTGAAGATGTGATTAGAAGCAGCTTACAGGCATTACCTTAGAATATCTCTTCACAAAATACTATTTAACATAAAGTAAAAAGTGTAAATTAAAGCTGGATAGGCCTGGCAGATACCAACCAGACCAGCTCATTAATGGTTGCATCACTGGGGTGGGAGGGATAGCAAATGTGACCCCTGGTGGGAAGCACTAAGGGCACAGCACCACTTCTGTATTCTTCCTGCCAAGGGAACATCACTGAATCTGGTCATGAAGAATCATCAGAAAGATCCAGTAGGGGATCATTTGATTTCATGTAGGATATTGAAGGTGAGAAGTACAAGGAATGATGAAGAACAGTTTGAGATTGGAGAATAAGAAAATGGTAGGACCCCCAAGTACAACACATTTTCCAGGGTGGGGATCCTGTAGCAGAAAGGAAAAGACACTGTCACATATGATGGAACATTTGAAGGGCATCTGTGGTTTGGGCAGTCATGTTTTGACCTTGGTTTTTGACTTAACTGGTAGCACGATTATGTAGAGAAAATTTTTACTTTGGGGAAAACCACAGTAGGAAATTTAGGGGTGGACACCATCCCTGCCCCTTTTATGTTTTTTTAAAAAATGAATAAAATGCCATAATGTATAAAGCAAAAAAGGTTATAAAGCAAATGAGGTAAACAGTTTAACAGTTGAGGACTATGGGAAAGAGATAAATATCCACACATTTGAAATTATTTCAAATT